TGTAAGTCCTATTGTATTTAACATACAGTTTTTGTTATTGGATATGAATAACAGTCTTACATTTAAAGATTTTCCAATTATTACACCAACATCTTAAGATTATTGAAATAACATGGGTTTCCAAGAATAGAAATAGCCATATATCATTATAGGCCCCTGTTAATTTATATAATTGATATAAAATTTACATGTTTTCGTTTTTTGTCCCCCGAGTAACGCGTTGCGGGGGACATGGACATAACGGGCGTCTGTCCGTCCGTGTGTCCGGTCTTGTTAGCGCTCTCACAGATACAATTCTTGCCAGATTTTTATAAAACTTATACTATAGGTAAATATTATCAATATCTCGGACAAGTTTTATAATGGTGGCCGATCAACTTTTTTTAAAAGAGTTATACCCCGTGGAAATATTAAATTTATGGAAAATGGCCTCGTTAGCGCTCTTGCGGGTACAATTCTTGCCAGATTTTTATAAAACTTATACTATAGGTTAATAATTTAATTTTGGATGTAAGTTGTAACACGTCTTCTGATTGGCTGAAATTGTTTTGTCTATCAGCTCATAGACATAATTTTGTCATGTGACCGTGACGTCATCAACGTTTTTATCATGATTTACTCCTTTTTAAAATTAAATTATAAGGAATGACTGTAATATTTTTTCTGTCTATTCGAAATAACCTTAAAAATGTGATGCACACTTTTAAATAACCCGCTACGCAGTGTGCACCACATTTTTGATGTTACTTCTTCATAGACAGAAAAAATATTACAGTCATTCCTTAAATATCAGCAATATCTCGAACAAGTTCTATAATGGTGGCCGATCGACTTTTTTTTAAAAGAGTTTTGCCCCTTGGAAATATTAAATTTATGGAAAATGGCCTCGTTATCGCTCTCATGTGTACAATTCTTGCCAGATTTTTATAAAACTTATGCTATAGGTTAATATTAGCAATATCTCGGACAAGTTCTATAATGGTGGCCGATCGACTTTTTTTTTTAAATAGTTATGCCCCTTGGAAATATTAAATTTATGGACAATGACCTTGTTAGCGCTCTCACTGGTACAATTCTTGCCAGATTATTATAAAAGTTATACTATAGGTTAATATCAGCTATATCTCGGACAAGTTCTATAATGGTGGACGATCGACTTTTTTAAAATAGTTATGCCCTTGGAAATATTAAATTTATGGAAAATGGCCTCGTTAGCGCTCTCACAGGTACAATTCTTCCCAGATTTTTATAAAACTTATACTATAGGTTAATATCAGCACTATCTTGGACAAGTTCTATAATTGTGGCCGATCGACTTTTTTAAAAGAGTTATACTCCTTGGAAATATTAAATTTATGGAAAATGGCCTCGTTAGCAATACAAAAAAAGTGTTTTATTTAGTTATTGCCATTGTACCTTGGATAGATAAAATATGTGCAACGCGGGGGACATTGGAACTCTGTTCTTTTATTTATATAGTTAGAATAAATTAGTTAGCTATCAATTAAAACATGACTGATCAGAATAATTTGAAGAATTCGAATATATATACTTGGTTTCCAAGAGATGTGTGGAAGTCGTGGATTGTATAGCATGTGCGGATCCAGGATTTTTAAAATAAGGGCCTAGCAAGCTAACGTTTGGAGTTATACTAGTAAAAAAAGACATCTGTTATTTAGTTATGCGATTAATAAAATTAATAAAATACTTTATTGTCAAGTATAAATCAGTCCCGACCAGTAGTATTAACGTAAGTGAAACATAAGTGACATCATGAGTGTATAGTATTGAAACATACCTCTATCATTTTATTATCATACCAAGGTCATTCAACTCATAAAAATAGGTCACTGGTTGCTTATTATATATGTATATTATCATGATGTGTTCCAATCTCTCTCAGTATCAATGCCTGATGGTCACAACGGTCACCCAGTTACACAACTCTGTATATATTTCCTTCATTATTAGTAGCACTCCATAGTTAGGAAATACAATTAAAATTGAACCATAAAATATTTAACCATCCTCTTTATAAAAATAAGGAGATGTGGTATGATTGCCTGTGAGACAACTATCCACCAAAGTTCAAATGAAGTGGATGTAAGCAATCATAGGCAACCGTACTGCCTTCAACAATGAGAAAAACCCATACCGTATAGTCGGCTATAAAAGGACCCGACATCAAAAATATGAAACAATTCAATTGAGAAAACTAACGGTCTAATTTATAACAAAACAATTTACGAAAAACAAATATGACAGACATGAACCAACGACAACCACTGAACTACAGTCTCCTGACTTGATACAGGCACACAAAGAATGTGGCGGTCTTTGCCCTGTTTTACTATAAATTAAACTTACTATTTGTGTCGTACATGTGTATATGTATGTACTCAGTATTTTCCATAGATTTGATTTTCTACAGTTAAAATTTTGAAATATAATTTCTTTTTTGTGTATCCATGGCATCATTCTTCATTTATTTGCGATAAAATATTGCTAAAAAGGGCATGAAAATGTCATAAACTCCCCCAAAATGTGGTTGAAAGTAGAATTTCAATCCCTTTGAGTGATACCTTTTCTTACAACATTGAAATTTGTCTATCTAGCATGTCTAGTTATCAAATAGAAATTAGCTGCTCGTAAAAAAGGACATGACAATTATTTCTGGACCAATCATGTCTGGTATGGAATATGAAAATACGGCCTGTCAAACAGAAATCAACTCATAAAAATACATACAGAACACAATCTTGATGTTCACAACGACACTTTGAAGGTTATATTAATCTTCAGTTATCTAAAAATGAATTTTATTGCACAATTATAGCTTTTATATTTGAAAAAAATCTACAGAAGCCAAAAAGCAAAACCACTCATCTAACTATGGAGTACAACCTTCGGTGAGCAAAACTAAAAACTAGTTTGTAGCAAATGTACCCTGAAGTGAGACTTTTTCAAAAGACAAGGTAAAATTCTTGAGATTCATATAGATCTGGAATGTTTCCTTATCATGCCTTCATGAGTATACACATGACTGGTTTTACCTGTGTCGCCGAAGTAACCGCTCGACTCCTTCCGTCCGTCTTTCCATCCGTCGAACTTTTTTATCATTTTCTTTCGACAGATCCGTTGAAATTACAATTTATATGTATCCGCTTTTTTCGTCAAACAAGAAAAAACTGTTTATGACGGCCTTAGCATACTCACACGAAGCATGCTACCACATTCAAGAGAGCTCTGGATTGAAGTTTCTGACAAAAAATGTCACGAAAATGTCGAAAATCCAATTCATAGCTGTATAATTTCACTGTTTCTTCTACACTAATACAATTATAAATTGCTGGACTGACCATTTATATAAGCATCATAAAATGTACTTAACGAACGCAATCCATGCATCGCTGGTAAATTATTAAGTCAGGGATTTCTTTACCATAAATTACTTGAAAAATTTACTAAATTATTTCATAGATACAAAAATTTGATTAGTAAATTTGGCTGTACCCGTAGAAAACTTATTAAAAATGGTATTTTACGGTAATATTGTACTAAAAGCGTGGAAATCACTATGTGATCCGTGTAAACTCATCGAACCTTTAAACAAACTTATAAGTAAAGGTTATCTTATTAATGTTGTAATAAGATCTTTGAATATTGTTTACATTGGCACTAACATCGATTTTGTCATCAACAAATTAAAACATAACTAAATTTGTATTCTTTTTGAATGTTTTTTTGGGATGTATAAATACACATCCACGTTTATTTTCTATTTAGAGATTGCTTTATCTATATATAACATGATACGTATTTATTTTAAGGTTAAATTCTAACTATCCTACTGCCTGTCGATACTTTTATTTTGGCATTGCACAAGTCATATCTTCTTAGGCTGTCCATGGCGTTAAAACACTAAATCCCTGGGATGTGTTTAAATTGATTTTAGTCTCTGATGCATGATTTTTTATTATTAATTGTTTTTGGCTTTTAATTAGCTTTCAGTAAACTGCGAGTACTCTCAAATCGCACTTTCGTGTTAATTTGACCTGTCGACACAATTTGTAATGCATTTTTGTTATTCAATGTTTACTTATTTTGTGTTGTATCTCGTCTAACTATTTTCAATATGTACCACCTTTGATAAGTATTTAGTATGACGATAAATTTTCACTTCTGTACTCGTACTGCGAACAACAAATTTATTTATTTGTAAAAAGTATTTCCGAACTAACAACAAAATTATTATATTTAAATTTACCTGTGTACGTTATTTTATTTAACGCCATTTTGTCCCAGGTTTTAGTTGTCTTTTTGACATTGTTTTACATCTTTTTTTATAATATTGTATTATATTGTGTCATAGATCAAATTTATTCGTTCAGTGTATGTTTACTTGTTTTTGTTTATACTATGTCTTTTTGATGGAGTTAACCCGTTTCAATTGATATTTAATTGTGTGTCTTTTTTTGTTGTAATGTTACACTACTGTTTCAGGTTAGGGTGAAGGTTGGCACCTGTTAAAACGTTTAAACCCGCTGCATTTGTATGCACCTGTCCTAAGTCAGGAGCCTGTTGATCAGTGGTTGTCGTTTTTATATAGATTAGACCGTTGATTTTCCTGTTTGAATTGTTTTACACTAGTCATTTTGGGGCCCTTTATAGCTTGCTGTTCGGTGTGAGCCAAGGCTCCATGTTGAAGGCCGTACTTTGACCTATAATTGTTTACTTTTTACACATTGTGACCTGGATGGAGAGTTGTCTCATTGGCACTCATACCACATCTTCTTATTTCTATTTGACATGTAATTCGGGAATTTTTTATCACTTACTATTTTTTGCCTTTTTTTAATTTACAATTTCAGAATTAAATAATAAACAAAAGAAGAGTTTTATCAGTCAAAACTATAGATTTGGTGTCCCTGAACACCAGTTTTATACATTAATTTTATACCTATGTATTTATTTTTATATTTTTTGTTTTTGTTTTTCAGGATCATGGTTTAAACCTCTTGCCGTAGGAGTAGTTTGCCTAGTTGGTGGTGCAGTGCTTGCTCCGATCGCTGTTCCTGCAGCTTTAGGGGCTATTGGTTTTACAAGTGGTGGTGTGGCTGGAGGGTCTATAGCTGCTGCAATGATGTCATCAGCAGGTAATGTTGCTGCCGGAAGTGCCATTGCTACCATGCAGTCTATTGGAGCCGCCGGATTAGGGGCAGCCGGAACAGCTGTCGGTGCCGGTGTTTCTGGTGTTGCGGGTGTTGCTGTTGCCAAAGCTGCAGGTGCAGGAGAAGAGGAGGGAGAAACTCATGACTGTTGCAACACTGAACATACCTGTATTACTTGTCAACACTGTAGATGTAAACATGAAACCGGTTTTCGTTCTGCTCAGGCACCATGTTAACTGAACTGCTACCAAAACGACAAAAACAATAGAAGAGAAACCAAATTAAAAACTTCAAATGAAATTGAGAGTGAAACATGTTAACATGAAAGATCTGAAAGATATTAAACATAATATCTCCTTTAAAGAATAAATATATATATATATAAGTGATTCGTTTAGACTATTTCGTTTGTGTTTATATTGTTAAACTAAATTCATTGCAATCGTCTTCTTAATTACTTTTATAAAGTGAAGATTACATCTTCTGAAATAAAGTTGAATAATAGAACCCTTGTTTTAGAGTACTTGTTATTCAGTTTATTTTCGAAAATCTGCAAACTGATCGAATCCATGATACAATTTTACATTTATAATCTAGTGTTTGTATCCCGCTGAATTTGAAAATCTCCTTTTTCTTTTTTCCTATTCAGATGAAACTTCGTGTAAATGATATTGAATGCTTAACATCATTTCATTTGCAAAAGATATCACAACGCTCATGAATCAAAGTTTATGTTTTCCTTTTATCCTTGCGAAGGAAACAGGCTGGTGCACCTGCCAATGGTTCGGCGCATGTCATTTGTGATTTTTTGCCTAATCGCATGAATCTTATTCCTAGTAAATGTTTAATTGATGCGTCTTTTTCGTTGACTGTAAAATATCTTGAAGCAATCATTTCTGCATTTAGTTTATGCTAATGTGTAATATTTATACGGGTTATCTTCTCTTTCCTCTTCGGGAAAACAGCAAACAAATATATTGATTGATTGATTGATTGGTGTTTAACGCTACTTTTAGCACTATTGTGATATTTCGTGGCAGTCAGTTGTTATTGGTGGAGGAAGCCAGAGTGCCCGCAGAGAACCACCGACCTTCGGCAAGAAAAGCAAACAAACTGACTATGTTTATTGACAGGTTGTAGGTATTCCTATGGGCACCAATTGTGCCACTTAAATAGCAGACTTGTTCCTGTACTATTAGGAATGTTGAAAATTTACTGTCCTTTCCTGGATTTAGATATTTCAGTTTTACACGAGAAACTAAACAAAAAATTACGACGAAATGGACGATTTTTCTTTTCCTATTGTTAATTTTCCTTTTTTGGTCGTTGATGTTCCTTTGGGCTGGCACTGTCTTAGGTTGTATATATATATCCCAACTCGTTCGCTATGCCCGTGTATGCTGTGACGTTTTAGATTTCATTGGCGTAATCTATGCATTACTGGCTAATTTTAAAATAAATCAGTGATTTCGTTACCACAAATTACTTAAAACCTTTACTAAATTCTTCCATAGATACAAAGATTTGGTTTGCAAGTTTGGCTGTACCTGTAGAAAGCTCATTTCAAGCGGAATAGCACATCATAATTTTTACGGTGATGTTGTTTACCGAGCCCGGACATTTAGATACTATCCGGGTAAACTTATCCTTAAATAAACTTATTCTGAAAGATTACCAACACTGTAATTGGATCTTTGTATATTGTTTTTATTGGTATAAATATTGATTTTGTTATCAGTAAACTAAAACCATACTTAATATTATTGTTATACACATATGCAGATTCACGGTACTACAATCTGTCGAGACCTATATTTTGGCATTGCCCAAGGTCATGTTTTTTCTGACTGATAATGAAGTCTTTACACTTATCTATTGAATGTTGGATGTGTACTGATTGATATTTAAGTCTTAGATACATGATTTTTTTTAGATATTATTAGCTTTGAACTAGCTGTCAGTAACTGCTAGTTCTCTCAGATCTGTACTTTGTGTCTTTTTTGTTTTTGTTTTTAGGGATGTATAATAAATAAATTACCATGTCCGGTCTGTGTTTTTGTTAGATGTTTTTCTGCTGTGTATCGATCTGCTGAGTTAAGCCTTTTTCAACTTATTTTTATGGTTTATTCTTGTATTGTTCTGTTACAAGGGTTGGCGCCTTCTAACATGTTTAACCCAGCCACATTCTTGATGTGTCTGTCCCAAGTCAGGAGCCTGTAATTGAGTGGTTGTCGTTTATTTCTGTTTCTCATATTGTTTTATGTTTATTGTTTTGTAGACCCTGTTCTTGTTTTGTGTCATTACACCACTGTCCCAGGTTCGGGGGAGGGTTGACGCCTCCAATCATGTTTAACTCCGTCACATTATATATATGCCTGTGCCAAGTCAGGAGACTAGTTCAGTGGTTGTTGTTGGTTCATGTCTGTCATATTTGTTTTTCGTGAATTGTTTTGTTATAAATAAGGCCGTTAGTTTTCTAAATTGAATTGTTTCATATTTGTCATGCGGTGCCTTTTACAGCCGACTATACGGTGGGTTTTTTCATTGTTGAAGACCGTATGGTTGCCTATATCTACTTCATTTGAACTTTGGTGGATAGTTGTCTCATTGGCAACCATACCATATCTCCTTATTTTATGTGGTTAAATACAAAAATATAATTAAAGTGACGTTTATTTATTTAAGAAATGTAACCCTTTCCGATATATAAGTTATCAAGGAAAAGATTCCTGCCAAAAAATTTGAAAAATTAATTCAATAGAATAAGGTACACGCATTTGATTTACACCCATCATCATGACCGTTGTAAAGATTGTTCTCAATCTTTCTTACAATACCTTAAGTCTCTAGATATTTATTCTATTCAATATTTGAAATACCTTTGCCAGGTTTTCTAAATAAAATAACTAAACTACTATTTCAAGAAATAGAAATTATTATTATAACTATAAATTACTACAAAGAATGAAAGTACAATATGTTTAACGGTTTTCTGTGATTTTCGTGCGTGTAGTATTTACCTATTAAGTTTCTGTAAAGATGAGTTCAAATTCGTTTTGATAGTCGGAAAATCCCCTTTTTATAATACTTAGCACGCCTTATCCTTGCGTGTAAGAAAATAGGTCGCTACCGGTCAAGGTTAAATGTGTGTATTAAAGTTAGCGAGTACGTAAAAATTGGATTATATTGAAGGAATGGACAATTTCATCCGACTTTACACCGATTTGGGAATATAAAGCAGGTAAAATGCAGTTTCAATGAAATGTAGTATTAATATCAAACTGGAAAACAAAAGATGTTATTCGAATGCCACATGTTGGCGGAATTTCGTAACGCAAAATAGGAAACTGTCGGGAACATCGCCTAAACAAAACAATGAAAGTATAATTAAACTTTCAAAACAACCGTGGTTGCAAAGCTACTTGTCAATTTCAACTTTATTTTGAATTAGCATTACACAATCGTGATTATGTGGTAGCCTCTTTTGTTGTTTATACAACATTGTCATTCAATGTGTTTGAGCATCTCCGCTCTTCAACACTTTGTACAGTGAACCATTCATTGGATACCAATGATCGTTCGCCCCGCCTTCTAAAATTGATTGACAACCGTCTTTTGAACGTCATCTCGGGATAAATAAATTTATTAAATTAAAAATAATTTTCAGTAGAAATAAACTTCTATTTCCATTTCATTTCAAAACAAGTAAAGCATTTTCAAGACATTTTAAAAAAATTGCGTCCCTCTTCCAAAAAAGGAAAAAAATCGGTGCGTAAGAAAAAAAATTCCAGCATAATATATTTAGTACCGATGTTTCAAATACTAATCAACTGTGAAAGATATTCTGGAGTCGTAAATTTTACGAGATCCATTGATTTTATTTAAATATTAATACAGAGGAGTTGTATGCATGTAAGATAACATTGTACTTGCTTGAAAATATTGTGTATAAAAGGAAAGTTCTCTTTTGGATAAAACTTTAAGTCGGTAAAAACGTGCATCTCTTTGTCGATTGAAATTTATACATTTTCGCTACGTGCGTGATATACATTTATAAAAGAGAATATACATTTCACACACTAGTCTTAAATGTCAATCTTTACTAAAAACTCACGATCTCTTTTATGAACAAAAATGTGATAAATAAAAAAAATATCGTTCTCGCAGGTCGATCTTCGATGCAAAAAGATACGGCAAATTACCCCTGTATTTGATAAACTTGCAAGTAAATATCTAAAAGTGTCAATCCTACTGGAAACTGATTATTAAACATTGCATTTTGCATTTTCTTAAATATTGTTTCCTAATCTAAATCATTATCTGTCGCTGATAAAGGCTTATTTTGTTACAAAATTGCCAATTATATATCTTTTTGTAAAATTTTGCATCGCTAACCAAATTTAATTAATTTGAATCCGAAAGACATGGCATTATAAACCTTCTTTATCATGGTGAATTGGTAATAATTATGTACTTTCGAACTTATTCTTTGAATTAAGAAAGTCTGTGCTGTAATTTATAACGCACAAAAAATATGTTCGACTCGCATCGGTCAAACAGATGTTTGGGATGTAGGAATTAAGTTTTTTATTCGCAACAATTGTTTGATTTTAAAGAAATATTGGAAGAGAGAAATACATAACCATCCAATTGCAAGACATTTTTTTACAATTCCTAAAGGGAAAGCATTCGATTTCAAATAATAGGCTGCACATGGTCTAAGCATTTTATTTAACTGTATACAAGTTTAAAGCTTTTCCGAAAGCTTATGGAATTTTAAACAATCATTTTAAAATTTGGTATAAGTAAAATATAAAATAAGGAGATGTGGTATTATTGCCAATGAGACAACTTCCACCAGGGACCAAATGACGTAGATTTTATAGAACTATAGGTCAACTGTCGGACGGGCTTCAAAGTCGATAAGATAAGAGGTTAATGTATTCAAGTGAATTTAAGTTCTGTGGTACATTCAAAGTACAATGGATAAATGTCTGGTTAAAAATTAATCTTATCTTTGATGTGCCGCATGAGTATCCCTATAAAGTAAGACAGTCCGTGCGTGACCCATGACATAAGATATTTATGCTTTTCATTGGCTATTTTCTATAAAAATTCAGACCAGCTAGTAACCTATATCAATTTACGTGTCTGTAGACGAATTTGTATAAAATATTTTTGTTTGATTTTAATTTCTGAAAAATTAAATAAACTGACCTCTAGGACAGATCTTTTCGGGACGTAGGGTTGGGCCTTTATTTTTTACGGGAATTCGCGATTTACACTTATTGAGACTCGGGAATCAATGATTAATTTTTCGGTATTCGGGAAAGAATGCTTTATTTTTTCGGGATTTCGGAATGCAAACTTTGTTTTTCAGGAAATTCGTGATTACTCCCCTCCTACCTTCTCTCTCTTTCTCCAGCAGACAATGTTGTTAAAAAATAAAAAAAAATAATTCTGTATGAGAATTTGAATTTGTTAAATATTTGCAATTCTTATAAAATCACAAAACCTAGAGATTTTTGGATTTATTTATGTGGATTGACTAAAAAAGGGGGCATGTACACGATGTCCCAAACTTAAATAATTTCATGTTCAACATTACTCAACACTTTTATTACTGAAACAATTAGAGATATCAATAATTACTATGTAAAAAAATTTTAAATATCGAATACTAGTTCCCAACTAAATGTCTAAATATATCCGTTTTGGAATATTTTCCCCATATTGACAGCTATATGACGTTAGTTTATAGGACCTCAGGTTAATATAGGAGTGGCAATCCATCACTTTTATCCAATCAACTGTCCTTTATGATAAAGATTGGCATGCGATTGTAGTTGAAACAATGTAATTTATATAATGACATTGTAATAGTTTTAGGACACAGTTACATCAACATCAAAAAGGTTATGTACTTTATTGTGGAAGCTGTGGACCACTGGTTCAAAATAAAATTGATTTCGACAGTTGCTTTGTAACCACTGTCATGATGTTGGGTGTATTTAGTATGTTCAGGGTGCTAGTACAGTAGCAGAGGGTGAGTGTAGTAAACGGATTAATATTTTCTTTATATTTTTACAAATAGCAATTGTTTTGTCATTTAGCGATGCAGGGAATATTGTTCGTCCGAGTAACTCATCCTACCATTCAAGCTAGAACTTTTATATTACTTAGAGTATCTGTACATATATAAAAGGTATGCAAATTTTATAGAATTTTGGTTTTCTTAAAATTATCCACAAATGACAATATGCTGAAGTGTTTGGACGGTGCATGCAACGTGTCTTTCAGACACAACCATTTCAGATTGTAGTTCAACATCACTGTTTTTAATCGAATATGTGTGTGACACTATATTCATATATATATACAGAGGGGGCATCATATTTGTAGTTTTCATTATCAAATTAAAATTAATGCATAGTATTATCCTATTCATGAAATCTTACAACAAGACGAGACGTCCGATTTCGGATAAAAAGGCACTCAGTTGCATAAAAATAGCACTATAAATTTTTGTCCAGAAAGAAAAAAGGAAAAGAGAGGCAAAAAACAGCAAAAGGACATTCAAACTCATAAGTTTCAAACAGAAAATCTGAAAACTGAGTATGTTTATATTATTGTAAACTCTATGAGCCATATGTTCAAAAGGAACTTAAAAGGGTAGCAAATTTTTCCTTATATCTACTTCGAATGAGGGAGCGCTCTTGTGAAAAATTGTATGCGATATATTTTACAATTTATAATCTCTATTGATGTGTCTAGTTTGGATGAATGCCATTACAATTTCCTTTTTTTTTTGTTGCTTTTTCATTTGTTCATGAAGGTTTTTGTAGATAGTAATTTGTATTACCGGCATTAGAGTGTGGCGGTTCCAACATATCGAAAACGACAACTTGGTTGTGCTTTGAATGTCTATAACATCATGTGAACAATCATATAACAACAAGAAAATTAAGCCAAAGTTTATTCAAATTCTGAAAAAGGAAATACATGAAAAACTTTATCTATATTTGAAGATTAAAGAATGAATTATGGAAACGTGTTTCAGCATAAGATTCGTGAACTATGCCTCATTGAACAAAAAAGACAGACAAGCGTGATTAATTTAGTCCTGGAGAAAAAACTTCATACTTGAAACCATTTAAATAAAATCCTTGCATGTACATGTGACTTTTGTTTTATCTTTTGTCACCATATGTCATTTGAAATAAAAGTACCAAAAAAACTCAAAAGTATTTGCAAATTTGTTATGAACTTAGTTTAAGTAATTTGAACAATAAAGATAACTACGAGTTTTAAAAGATTTATTTACTTAAAAATAGGTGTAATATTTTTATTAAAATTCGAAAAAAAATCCTCATAAAAATAATTGATAAAGACTCCTTCCAATAAATATTTTGTAATTGACATTTTTTTCTTCTTTTGATATATAGTAGGTTTATTATTCACTTTACAATCTCTACAAATGTATAGGTGAAGAATTGAGAACAGACAAAATTGTAAATATTGAACTTTAAAATCATAATCTGTATCAAATAAACAATAATATAAATCATGTGTTTGCCCTATAAATATTGAGATTTCTTTTACATTTTAGAAATAAAAATTAACTTTCATCCAGACAAAAAAAATGTTTTCGTAAGCATATCAAAACAAAAGAAAAATATAGAAATAAGGAGATGTCTGGAGCTCTGAAATTAATCACTTACAATGAGAACACAGCTATATTTATATAAATATCAATAAAGTTTTATAATAATAATTACTAGTTTTAGGATGATTTCTGCTTTTGATAACATTGCAGATTTTTTAACGTTTATCGTGAACTGACAAAAACATTGTATATCTGTAAAATAACAGCATTTATGGGTATATCTTTTTTTTGTTGAAAAGTAATACGCCTTCCCTTATCCTCCCAATTGCTTTGAAATTTGATTACCCCAAAAATTTAGTTTGCTCAACAAAGAGCATTGTCGAAGGTCACAACACGAATATATACTGTTTCTCTTAGGTCTGAACCATAGTCATCTTTTCGTACTTTAGACTGCGCACTGATGGGGGATCATACATAGGTAAATCAGCTCCTTTTCGTTTACCGTAGGCATTCTTATCAAACAACTCATCAAGCCGTTCTTTCTCCATGTAGATGTGCGATATCGAGTGTAGCAGACGATCAATCTGGTCTGGGAACAATTCAGTCGGGCCACGTGTGTCTGCTGCATGTACGCTGTTTGGTTTAAGAACGTTTTTGTCTGGATTTCCAACTCCGGTCCATAGTTTTAGTCTGCCTAGCATGAACTGGACGATTTCATAGTCGTTACTTTGCTTATTTGCGTCGATTCGAACAGAAGAAAAGGTTTCATTCAAGATGGAGAGGAACATGTTGACCACAATAAACGTGATCACAACGACATACAAGAAGAGAAATACTTGTGTTAAGACAGGTTGTGCATTGGACATTGCATAAATATCGAATTTACCCATCATCATTACAACACCTGATTCGCAAGATGTTACAAAAGTTTTGAAGGACTTGATGTTTGCCACATAAATCATGTAGAATAATTGAATAAAAGCCAAGAAAACAATGTTGAAGATGACACTAAAGTGAAGAAGATCTCTTGCGGATGCTTTAATTGTTGATGCCAAAAGACAGATTTTCTTGTTAAACCGAAGCAATTTCAGGAATTTCAAAGTTGCAAAGAAAGCCAACCAACCAACTATATAAGAAAATATTTCACTCCAATACCCAACATATTGAAACTTCATATACTCGTTTCCATGACTGACTTTAAATCGTTCTGTCAACTTGTTGGTTTCAAACATTCGATAGAAATAGATTACAACAGCGGTAACTGACATTGCACAAATTCCCAACTCTACCAAATTCCAAAACTCCTTAAAATAGGACAGCTTCTGCTTGTAGATGTTACGAGCTTCAGCAAAAATGAAGTACACGGTGAATAAAAGATATGCAACTTCACATGCCAATACAAACAACATAGCAGAGTTCATATAGGGGAATAAATTGACTGGCTCAAATCGATACGATGGAACTATGCCCTGACTTGGTCGGAACTCGGCGAGCATTGTTGATACTGCAAACAAATTTATACCAGGATTATATACTGTGAACTCTACGAACACTGCTCGTGTGTATCGATCAATCCAACCTTCTTGTTGTAATTCTATCATTTTATTTCTGAGTGTTGAGACGTTTCCACGTAACCTGACAACATATCCACCGCCGCTATAGACGGATATCTCACCCCAGTATGGATATCCATCAAGTTCATTAGCAGTCGTATATCTATATTCTTCTCTGGAAGAATTTCCAGCCAACGGTTTCCATCCCGCTTCATAGCTTTTTTCGTCCTGATTATGCACACTATACTCGTCGTTACATTCGTGTATTATACCTACAACTTGGTCCGGAACTTTGCAAGATCCTGAAATATATCAAGAACACATTCTTATTTGATACTTTTTAATTTGCTAGCGTGTATAAAACTCTGAAAACGTTATTATGAAAAATTAAAACAAATAAGCAAATTAAATTAACGGGTTTTTTTATTATGAGATTTACAATAGTTCAAAATTGTTGATACGAAAAATAGAGAATTTTTACATTTTTTATAGAACATATACTGCATAGATATCTTACATTCTACAATCAGATATTTATGTGTAAATAAACAACCATTCAGCTATATTATAGTATTTCTCTTATTCTACATGCATTTAAACAGGTTCTGGCAAGTTTGGCAAAAAACGTTGATTTAATTTGTCTTGTTTTATTTCCAGCAAATCCCATTGTATTCAGCATTTTCCCATAAATCATTAGAGAAACCGATGTACAACTTTATCTCGTTGGATTCTATTTTTATCATGTTTATTTATATTTTAAAATGTTACAATGCTCGGTAAATCTCACGTCTTTTAAATTTGAAAATATGAATATCTCGAGTGAATAAGTGCAAAAATCTGTACATGTATTCTCCATGTATATGACCTTAATTATCTGTTGTATCCTGTCTGATGACAATTTTTTTTAAAAATACATACCTCATGATCTGCATGGCACAGCCTGTTTTTTTTTAAAACTTTATCTGGTAGATTTGAAATCAAAAGTTTTGAGAGCCAGAATCTTAAATATTTGTAAGCATAAAAACCAAAAAGGGGTTAAACTATAAAATGCTCGATACTTAAAAATCCTTGTTGTAAGCGAGTCTAATTCCCAGAAATATACTTGATTGTTATTACTTTCCTTTGATTTATCTGCATATTTCCGTGAAACATGTTTTATGCTTGCTACACGAGGATAAAACCAAATGAAATGAAACAAAAAGTAAAATCACAAAAATACTGAACTCCGAGGAAAATTCAAAAAAGAAAGTCCCCAATCAAATGGCAAAATCAAAAGTTCAAACACATCAAACGAATGTTTGCTTGAAATGCTGACTCACCCTTCGTTACTCTCAGTTGTCTCATGGTTGCGTATCCCATAATCCTAGATTGTTTGTCGTTGATATAACCACGAAGGAATAAGGGTTGTTCGTCATTATAATAATTGAGTGCTCTAAGTCCATTTCCCATTCCTGATTTAGCCCAAGACCAAAAGTCATCCTGGTTCTTAGCCTTGAAAAGTTAATATTATGAAAATTTACACTTATACATCAAAATCAATTAGCATATCTTTTCATATACTACTAGCTAAGTTTGGAAAGTGCAAGTTTACTATAAAAGATTAAGAAACAGGCAGTCAGACCATGCAACATGAGCAATGTTCCCTACCTACAGGAATATATTATGAGTTTACACTTATATGGGACAAGTATTTGGTTGTGATGAGTCTTTTAATTTCCCCCAAACAAGAAAGAGTCGTAAGTGATGCAGTCTGGAATTTCCATATCGTCATTAATAATCTGATCTGAATATTTATTTAATGATGAGAAATATTTTCAACAATTGCCAGGCTAAACTATCCTCTAATGGATTTTTCTCGAAAAACTTATATTTTTTAGCAATTTTCTATGTCCAAGGCCACGATTTCTTCAACATCTCCCAACCGTAAATGAAACTCAGCCTTCATCAATAATTTCTTATGATACATAAGACGTTACAGCAAAACGTGCGGAAACTGATATAGTAAAACAGTTTTTCATTTCCTAGCATAGAGCCAGAACTTTCTCAAAATTGCTCTACCGGAACAAAAACTCTACAGTGATTTGTAATATTTTTTTATATGATTATTTACCCATTATCTAATCAATTGATGCAGGCATGACAGAAAAAACTGTTCATTTAATTTTAAATGCATTAATAATGAAAATTCTTTTTATATCTAATATTTTTGCATACGTTTAACTTTCGTTTCTTCCTATATATTCCGTATGAAAAATCAAGGGAATTCTTTTTCATGGCAATTTTTGTTCAAATGTTTCTCAAAAATAGGCACACGGACCTATCTTTGATATTATACATTACCTTTATGAAAAGATACCATGTAAGAAAATGATGGGTGTTTTTCATTACAAAAGCAAATATCCTTAAAACTAATGAAACGTATCTTTGTATGGCAAATTCCTACCTTCATAAACCAATGATTTGTATCATTTGTAACTATGAATACTTGTTCCATGCTGTTTTTGTATGTATACATAAGCTCCGATCGGTTCCTGTAGCTGATGACCATTAGAATCCACAAGAAAAACGTATAAAACACGAGTTCCCTGACAACAGACCACATCTTGATTTCCTTTAATCTCACTTGTCGAGCTTTTTCTACCAACACCGGGTCTGGGGGTGCATAGGCTGCTCTTTTTGGTCTTGTAGCTGAGAATACTTCAAGAGAAAGGAAATAATTTAAGCATGGCATATATATATATATATATACAGGATATTGTGGTACAAGAATATCGTACAAGTACAACATATTTGTAAATGAAAATTGCGCCAGTATGATCAAAAAAGATATTACTTTACAGTTGACGCATAATAATAATTAAAAAATGCATATTGACCTATAATGGTTTACTTTTATAAATTGTAACTTGGATGGAGAGTTGTCTCATTGGCACTCATACCACATCTTCCTATATCTATATAATTTTTTAAAAGTGCATAAGCTACTTTTTTCATCAAATTATCAGTCAGCAATTGCTTTAGAAAACATTGAAAGATGTAGTGTGTGATTAATTTATTTGCTATTTGCATGGTATGTATCTCCTCACAAACTCATTTAATAATCAAAACACCCGAACAGTACATGACAAAGAGAGGATTGAAACAAAGACTATTTCATTCATTAACCATTTCTGTTATTTCAATATTTGTACTGTTGCAACAGAAAAAAAAAACCGGACTCATCAAACGTCCTTCGGCATGATTAGATTTATGTTTTCATGTGTACAACTAACTCATCGCATCCACTTACGAAATAGATTTATTTTGTTCATGTTAACTTATTCAAATGCTTCAATTTATTTACTCTAACTAGCTAAGTAAACAGATGAAAGTATTCTTTCAAAGAATAAATCATGATTTGATTATGAAATATTACGAATTAAAATATTGTTTGAAATTGATTAGCATACTCGAGTCCTCGTGAAGAAGTGGATCATCTGCCGATATGTGTGGTTTTTCTTCATCGTCTTCCTCCTCGTCATCATCGGCTCCGGGATTTTTCACGATTAGGGACAGCACTATTGCAGTTAGGAACACCTTTACGTAGATCAAAACGTCAATTAGAATAAGATTATATATATATATATATATGATTATATTAAGTCGAGAGGTCGAGGGCGCTGGGCACGATGCAAGCGGTGTTGTCACGATGTAACAGAAGCAAGGGTTTGAATCCCGCTGAGGGAAGTACAAAAATTTGCAAATCTAACATTGTTGGGCTAAATTTGAGACAAGTTATACAAATATTATGGTGTTAGTCCTGTATAACGACGTTTTATTCGATGGAGAATTTTTTATAAAGTTGTCACATGTTTAGTCGTGTATAATAAAATTAAAATTTGATGTGGCGGCATGGTAATTAACATTATCATCCTTTACGACGACAAAATAGCTGATCTGAAAGGTACACCATCTACTTGCCACTATACATCATGTACTGTGTTACAACCCTAGATAAAGCCGACGAGGAAAGGCATTACATCGACCACCGAAAGCTATATTTTTATGTAGCCTAGGTTGTCGAGTGGTCTAGGGCGCTGGACACTGTGCAGGCGGTGTTGGCACGATGTCACAGAAGCAAGGGTTCGAATCCCGTTGAGGGAAGAACAAAAATTTACTAACGCAAATTTGAAGATCTAACATTGTTGGGCTAAATTTGAGAAGAGTTATATATACATATATATAATATTCATATGTGTGGCACGCATTAGTGCTATCAAAAGTAATGTATAAAATTGAAATTGAAGACTAAACAAGATATTAGTAATGCCATCTATATATATTATGAAAAAATTAAAAAGGATCAGTTATAAAAGTGTAAAAGAAATATAAAAGGACCAACGCTTTTCCAGAATAACGTGTTATTTGTACTGAAAAAGGCTAGTCATAGATATTTGGCTTTATAATTTAATATGCCCCCCCCCTAAATCATTCTTAAATCCTTGCAACCGACATATTTAGTTACATTAGCCTCTCCTGAATATGCACAAATAATTTGACACAAGACATTAAGCACACAAGCAAACATCGATTGAACATAATACAACATATTTTTACCTTTATTGGTTGCGTCACAAATATTGAGGAAATGAATGATATCAACATCGATGTAATCCATTTCTTACACTTCACGTCTTGAAATTGGATACCATAGAAAATTACGAATGCCCCTGATACTAAAGTGGCAATCCATAAAAGTATCCATCCAAATATAACAAAATACCATGGTAAGTCCATCTTCTTTTTTCTTTTCTTTCCTGCTGGTTTATTTGCCAAGTCTCCAACCGATAATGACGTGTAACCACGTGACATTGATGTATCTGGACGATTTTTCTGCTCAAGTAAAATTGATGGTGTCAACGTTCCTTCTCTTGTGTTTTCGAGTGTAGGATTCACATCTGTCATGGATGTGGCTCGCTTAGTAGTGTTGTTGAGAGCAGTTTGCACCCGAGATGGTCGTTTGTTTTTAGGACGGGATTTTCTAAACAATGTTATAATTAAGAACGTCACAGGGAAGACTATGATGTTACTAAGAACTCCAATATATATCTGAAAATAAATTAATGTTTATTATATTTATAAATATAATATTTACTCTTATTTACTTACTCTTGTACTCCTATATTGATTATATTAACTAGTAGGTAATGCACAAAAGCATGAACCGGAATAAGATCAGCTTACCTGTGTTCTAATTGATAGACAAATGATTGGATAATAAGAAAGATTCTGAAGATACCAAGAAGACAATCAAAACTCATTAGTCGAGATATAAACAGACAACACCATGTGCAAAACGAAAGACAACGAAATGACTAACAAATTCACAAAACACTACATAGAAAACTAAAGACTGAGCAACAAGAACTTCACCCAATACTAGGGGAGATCTCAGGAATATTTCATAGAAGCCTATTCTTATAAAATAAAGATGGACCCTTTTAGGGAAGGTGCATCAACATAGGAATATAAAGGTCATTTGTGTTATGTATAAAGTCCTTACTTTATTTCATGAAGAGGTAAAAGATACCAAGGTGGTTATCAAACTGCTGAGTCGATGACAAACTGACACCGCCATGGCAAAAAAGTTAAACGACCAAAAGACAACAGATTACAAAAACGAAAAATAGGACGGAGTTGTGGTTACAACAATTGAAGTATATCTGTCGTCATCTGAGAAATAGATATTAACGATCAACCAACTCGACATTGCGTCAATAAAATTTTTAGAAGAGAAAATTTCATTTTCACAACATGAAACCCTTGCCCTAATTGCTTCCATGTAAGCAGCTACTATTTATCAAGGAAATCATTATACGAAATGCAAGCTCTGTTATATCTTTTAACTGGGATATGTACATGTATACTCAATATGCAGAAGCTGCAGGAATGTTGCTAAGAGTGGATAAATAATACAACAGTTTTTAATTAATCAATATATATAGTTCAGACTCAATGAATAGAATTTTTTGTAAAAACGGCCATGTTTCCCTTAGGAGTATACACACTTATTTTATCTTATTGATAATGATTAACTAAGCTGAGTCGTTTTTGTGGTAAGTGCTTTCCGGAAAGAGATAATTAAAAAAAACAATGATAATTACCTGTTCAGGCGAAAGTGCAAATGGTCCAAACGTGTATGTCTTTGCACCTTCATCTTTCTCATAAAACATTGCATTGGTTAACATTGACAGGTAAAGTAAACATAAGCAACAAGATACACGCTGCACACGTGTAAATCTGCTTTGTGGAGGACGAGCAACCACAGAGAACCAGAGATGACCATCACTTAAACTTTTAGTTGTTTTCTCCGTAAACAAGTGGCTGAATTCCGTCATTTGTTCCTTTCCAGCAACAGGTATTACTCTATCGATCTGCATTAAAATGACAAACATATGAAGCATTTTCTTTAAAAAGGAATTCACTGATTGTAAAAAAATAAATTTCAGTTCTTTAAGAGATCAATTGTAAATTTAAATTACATGTTATTATTATTTATCCCCTTTTCTAAATGTCTACGCTTTGTTATACAAAATTACCTGTCCATCATCTTCCTCTACAGCAAACCATCTGTTGCATATAAAAATAAATTTTTCGTCAGTCTGAACATCTCTTATTACCGCACTTCTAAGGTACCAGGACGCCATTGTTCCTTTGCCTGAGTTGTCATGCCAAATGTGAAGATAGTTCAGAGCACCTAGTGGCCTATGGAGTATAAAAACTGTTTAAGTAATCAATGAATCATATAAGAGTTATAAAAAGAAGTAAAGATCTTGTATCTGTGTACAAGTTTGATATTTGAGGAATTCCAGCTCCGTTACACGAAGTTGATCTTATATGTCCTTTTTTTATCCTGTTTTGCTACCCATGATACAATCAGCTTTCCCAAAATTGGCTCTGATCGTTCTTATTTTGATGGTTTGATTTCATTTTCTATCACTTGTTGAATACTACTGCTTGTATAATGTTAGTTTTTAATGGTTTATCCCTTAATTACTCAGTGCTTCAGAACAGACATGATGTATTTCATACAAAAGTTTGTAACAAATTCTCGCTTGATTTCAACTTCCAACGAAACTTGTTTGGCTTGTCTTATGATAAGAAATCAGATGATATATGGTTTGTGGTCAAACATCAATTTGACACTTTATAACTGTATTTTAGTATAATGAAAAATACAGAATCATCTAGTACAGTTTATTTAAGCTTACTTAAAAAATCAATTTTACTGATCACAATTCATTTAAAAGACAGTAAATCATTGTTCCCGAATTATCCATCTATGATTTCAGATTTGTTTGTGTTTTAATCGAGTGTGACTCGTGTTTATATCAGTCATAAATAAAATGTTTCACCTTGGTGCAGACATCAGGAAACCATCTACAGTTCCTCGTCTCAGTATCTTCCTTTTAGAATCTGATAATGTTCTTACGTCTGTTTCATCATCTTCTCCACTTAGAATGAACTGAACCTACAAAACATTTTTGTTATTATTTTTACTGTTAATCAAAACGTAAAAGTCCCAATACTTCACATTTTAAATTTATTAGAAACGCATCCACTTACAAACTTTTTATCAGCTGAAATGCTAGACCTGTTTAATGAAAAATCATCAATACTAAATTCTTATAATATATTTTACGTTCCTTTTTTTTACTTTTTACAATTTTACCTTTGAATCAGTTCCGGCTTTTCTTCTCATCCCTGTTACAACAACTATTTCGTAGAAGTATTTGTCCTTCTTGTCATTATCCACTAAAGGTGTTAGTCCAAGCTGTAATAAAGCAATTTATTTTACTTTCTGTAAAACATTGCATGGTGTTTTATCTATTAAGGTATTCGTCAGAGTAAGAAAATTGGCGTTTATTGTTTACTACCTACCGAACGTTACATCCCTAGCTACAATCAATTATTTTACAAACAGAAAAGCATATTTTTTTTTATTCCTTCTAAGTATTAATCCAAGTTCTAACTTTTTATAGAGATTCTAAGTTCAGTAGTTTCGAATGTACACAAAAACTAAATACACAATCAAAATATATTTCATAGCTTTACCCTCAAAATTGTTAATACTATCAAAAGTTAAGAAAAATATCTAATCTTAAAAGATGCTGATATAAATCATGATTTACCTTTTCAATATCATTTTACTGCCTTCGTGCCTAGATTACAACAACAGAATATAACACAGTTATAACAATCAATTTGATGATTTACCTTTTCAATATCCTTTTTATCCTGCCTTCTTGCCCAGATTACAACAACCAAATAGAAGACAGATATAACAATCATAGTGATGTACAAAGTAGGATTTGTCAGGAAGTCTGCATTACTGAAGACAAAATTCCAGTCAATTGTATTTGGTGTTACAACCCAACCACCAGCAAATGTTGTTAAATGGGTACATAAACAGTGTGTAAGCGATGTGTCTGTTTTGGGTCCAACCTTAAATTACACATTTACATGAATTACTAATATGCACCATCCATGTTATGTATGTCTGTACAAATCCAACTAAATAAATGAAAACTTAAATTTGAAAAGAAAACAACACATTGTACGATAAAAACAGTTACTAGTACACATTTATCGATTGGTTCGGATATGCTACAAAAAAAAAAGAAACAAAGCAGCAATCAAATATTAAAAAATGGTGTTCTCATCTTAGGTATATTTCTTTTAAAAATCATTGTGTTTCTTCCCAAAGAATTTGTATGTATGATTTTAATTTTTGAAGAAAATGTACTGTTGAGCATGATATATGGTAGTGTAGAGTGCGGGAAAATCAAACAGTTTGGTAATGTTGCATAATTTAATGGATTAAGATTGACAATTTTAGTCTATGTCTCTAGAATTTTAACAAATCCGCATCTGATTGACACTGCTGATTGAGTATGAAACCTAATCAAAAGCAATCTTTTACCTTTGAAATTGTGTGTCCTGAATGCTCTTCAGCTTCGTACTTTGTTCGGCCGTTAACTTTTTGGATTCGAGCGTCACTGATGAGTCTTTGTACACGACACGCGCGTCTAGCATATGAAATTATAAGCCAGGTATTTTTAAGAGATTTTTTTTTATTCAAAGAAGAAAGAAAAGAAGTAAGTATCATTGGCGTTTACTGGAACATGAATTAGCGCCTGTTATATATCGGCCTTTGTATGGATTTTTATGGAGTTTTAGTATCTAGTGCAAAGAAGTGTGATATGCATCGTCATTAGTGATGTTGACAGCATCGGAGAGATAGACGGATTTAATTTTCAAACAAATCTCGTATTTCGTAGCTGAAGTATATAGGTATATAAGTGGGAATTTCTTTCGTTAGCCAATTCAATTAATGATTTTTACGGTCAATAACAGTCATCTTGTCAATGAAAAAAAACACAAAACGATATTAACTACAGTCTGCCGTTTTGTACACAAAACATTGGTAGAGATAAGCTATGTTATCTCATTAAAAATGAAAACTACAGGTTATTAATTTCATGCGTCCGAAGCGTTTTTCTGGATATACCTTCATCAGGAACGCTCACAGCCGAATATTTGAAAGCCAAGGATGTATAATAACTGGTCCAGCTGAAGGACTATAATTACCAAAAAGAAACTAATAAAAATAGCAAAATCCATCTAGGGTTAACTTTGCCTGAGGGAGTTGAAACCTTAATTTCTTTATAATTTCAAAAGCTCGCATCTTAAAGTTTCCAAGTTCAAGTATCTCTAGTGGACTGATATGATTATGATTCCACTGTGTTTATGAATTTAATTGTATATATTTTATTATTGAATATATTTAGATATTTCTGTAACTTATTATTGATTCCAAAGACAATTGTATAGATACTTACATTACATCCATCGGATTGCCACCTCTTGTTTGTTATACTGTAGTAGTTACATGATGCTGAGAAAGTTGTTATTGTGTAGTTGGTCGTAAAATAATTGTCTGCTTTAGGGAACGAAGTTGGTATAAGATCATTTGTACGGTATCTTTCAAGTTCATATGGTCGCACTTGTCGGACTCCTATATAAACTTTTCCTTTATAACCATTTATTTCATCGCTACTTATAAAGCATTCGTTTGTTAAAGAACCATCAGCCACTGAAAAAGGAAACGGTAGATAACTTTGAAATTAAATATACTATTAAAAATAATAAGGAGATGTGGTATGATAGCAGAAGAGACAACTTTCCATCATGCACCAAATAATGTGGTTTTTAGCAACCATATGGCCTTCAACATTGAGCAAAACTCATACCGCGGTATAGCCACCTACAAAAGATATCTTGCGGACAAATTGTAAAATAAAATAATTTTAAACGAGAAAACCAACGTACTAGTTTGTAACAAAACAATAATCGAAAAACAAATACGACCGACAAAAACCAATGATGATGATGAACGGCTATTTTACGTCCAGCGGCAAATTAAATGCATATTCAGAACGAGAAATTCTTAATGTAACATGAATATTTACCCTGCTTTGTACTAAACCTACACGCTGTTACTCAAGGTTACAGTGCGCAAGAATACATGTCACCCTACCTGGACACATTATGCTGACTCTGTGCCGACCATTCTTTGCTCTTACTCCTTAATCCCTTAGGATTGACCCTACCGGGGTTCAAACCCTAGACCTTCCGCACTTGAGGCGAACACGCTTACACGGAACCACTGAGACGGTTTTAAGAACAAACGACAATGCCTTTATCGTGCTCTCCAAAACTATTTAAGAAATGTATTCAAATGGTGCACTGTATCATGTCCATATAGCTTTTCTAGGCCATTCATAAAATCTAGCATCCGTGACGAGTGACTTCGAATAATATTTCTTCAATGACATGATATCTATTTGAACATCAGTTAATATTTGTCATATCGATAAAAAGGTTATCACGAGGATAAGAATCATTTTTTAATCTGATGTTTCTTCTTGAAAAACACATTCAATTCAATATTCTGATATTTTACAACAGCAGTCGTAAATTATTTGAAACCTTTATTTTAAAGCTCAACTCGTAACTCGTCGTTAACACATTTAGATATTTACAAACAGAAAGCTTGATAATTTAACCGTATGATTCTGATTTGCCTGCGTATGATGTTTTGTTTTACAAGCTAAGATAAAACTATATTTGAATAAAGGGAGATTTGGACTAAAATTACATAAGGACATCTAGAGGGCTACATACAGTCCTTATCTATAGATCGGTGTCTATATAATATGTTAACATCTAAATAGTCCTGAGTATTTCAAAGTTGGGAAAACCATCAACAGAATCAATTTAAGATATGACATCCGACAACGAACTTATACAAGGGCAGTACTGAAACAGCCTATACATAGAATTATAATACTTTGTAGACAATGTTTCTCTCAATTAACAAAAATGTATGTATGGACTTTTCTGATTATCTGTCATCGTACTAACGTTCTTCGATAAACTGTTTTATTGGCCTTAGACAGCCCTCTTCCTGTAGATGGGCCTGGTGTATTTAAATTATTTTTTGGATTTTACCTCATCAAAACTGGTATATCATGTATATTATCTAATGACGGCAGATATTCACTTTTTGATTGGCTGAGGTCACCAGTATTGGTGTCAGATAAAATGACGCATCTACCTCGTGGGACGGAGTATACGATGAATTCAGCATTCTAGTTTTTGGCAACCAGCAAAATCAAGGAATAATTGCGATAACAGTTTCTATTTAGCGGAAAAACAGAACTGGAAAAGTGGGGGTTTATTTTATATAAAACAAGATGTAGCTTGTATTTTCTTTGATAAAGTTAGCAAACACTTCCCCTCTTCCAACGCTTTAGAACATATTAACTCTATATAATGTTTTACGAACAACATAGTACGTACCTGAAGCTGCACCAGTTGAAGGTCCTACTAAACAGGTGAAATCAAATTCTCTTGACGTTATATTAGGAAAAGCTCCAAGTCGAATTACTAATGAAAACTGTGCCGAAGTGTCTTCTATATTTAGAATGATATGAAGGGAACCTCTATCGAGTGTTATCTCTGTTGTATGGTAATAGAAAAACTCCCAATTTCTATCCGGAATGTATGGAGCCACATACTCAGGGGTTGGTTTTTCCATCAGACGGTCAAGTGGGATATAAAGTTCAATAGGATCAACATCTGGACTCAGACTTACTCCTATTGTGGATCCTGTATCGTCATAGAAATCTATACTAACTGAACCACTGCGATCGGAAACCTGGGAAGACGTTTCCGTATCCCGATAAGGTGCATATGTGGTGAATTTAGTCTGTTGATAAAAAATAAATTCTATGAAAATTATGTTAATAGATTCTTTTGATATAATAATCTCTTAAAAATTTAATCTTTCTCGTTATATATCAATATTCAAGAAAGAATATTTTGCATGTTAACCATATCTGTACTATATAGGGATATATTTAGTATAATACTCTCTTTTTATTCAAGAATTTAGAATTAATTTTGAAAATGCCCACCAGCTTAATATATCAAAATTGATCTGTGACGATATAATTGTAAACTACTTTCTATATCCATATACTTCATTCTTATGTTCAAAAAGAACATTCATGTGGCACTAATGACAATAAATTATGCATTTGTTTGAAAACAAATTTGAAACAACAATACTCAGCTTACACTAACATAACTACGAGTCTCAGATGAATATTTGATCATTTATTTATGAATAATCGATCATAAATATTATTACTTCTGAGAAAAGAAGACTTAATTTCTTTAATTACCAATCAGCAGCCGGAGAAAACAATTGAGGTAAATAAGACGGTTCTCCTCCATAAAGACAAATCTTGTATGATTGACATTTACTTTATTCGATCCCTAGAGACCTTTATTTCCACGAAAACAAAAGTCTTTCCTTGCATAGGTATACAATCATAGAACAAAAAATTACAATAATTGGGAAATGTGTTTCAAGGGACGTCTTTACTTTTAAATGAAATGAATCGATTCCAGCATAATTCCAAATAAGGTACACATTTGTTAACTTCAATTTACGGTATTACTCTTTTTACTTTTTTGTTATAGATTTGGACAAAACATTTCTTTTCACCAGATAGATACAATTATTTCGTTTAGAATTCTATAAAATATCTCTGGAATAAAAGGTTTCCTAAGTAAGGAGTTGCATTTCTACAAATAATTTAGCAACCAAGGGTCTCTATGTTAAAAACAAAGTCAACGATTATACTTTGTGGTCAAATTAGACTACATGCATGATTTTATTCTTCAAAAATATTTTTTGCCATTTTACCTATTTTTCATGCCTTTTTCAAATAGATTGACAAGAAAACCTCAAAAACTTCAATTATTATGACATGGTCCAAATTATAGTGTTTTCGAGTAGCAAAGAATGTATTACTAAGACTACTACATATTTTCAGTCAGTTTTATGTGAACAATTACTTGTGACATTTTCAAAAAGTGACTTTCAACATTTTAACTTCAAAATTACAATTTTAAACAAATTACTTAATTTTATAGAAAATTTACAGACAAAATGGTACAATTTTTTTGTTTCAGGTGTGTTTTCAAATGACAACATGAAGATATATGAATGTATATGGTGATTTTGCTCTTACTCCAACAACTGTCAAAGTCTTTTTAGATATTGTTCATAGAATTAAGCACTCTTTATAAAAGATGCATCCTGTACATGAGGTTTATGTATGTAAATCGGTACATGGATAATGTTTTGACATATCTGCAACTTAGATATGCGTTCAATATTCTAAACAGAAAAGAATATTGAAAGTGAAATAATGACAAAGAAAATATTATAATCATGCATCTTGACGAAACAATATATTTTGCATATCCATTCTATTTAAAATTATCATATTTATGAAAAACAAAGATGGTCGTATTACCTGCATCATCACAGTTTTACTGTTATCACATGGAGCGGGTTGCATGTCACACCAAGTTGGTAGGTCTACTTTAGCGTTGCCTACTTCTATAGATTTGTTTGCTAATTGTTCAGCACTATTCTTTTCAAATTGCACTGTCATTTTAGGAGTAGAAATTGTAACCGGCTGTTCACCAGGTACTAATGTATCCTGTAGTACATTTCTAATCAGGTTCAAAATCCTGGTTTCTGTAGATTTGGTTTTCGCTGACTGAAATTATATATTTTATATAACACATCAGGTATTTCAACGCTTTTTTATTTGAAAGCAAAGTCTATTCGATGAATCTGTAAACAGGGAAATTAATTAAACTAAAAAACAAACAAACAGAAAAACACACAAAAAAATATTTTTGGTATCAACACACATTTAAAATTGTTTACGGTATGAGCACTGAAAGTCTTTCTGAAAAAGTCCTCATCAGGTTCACACGAGTCAAACAATTTGGAAAGCAAACGATATAAAACGTTGAATATAAAAACTGAAAGGATCTAAACAGAAAAGATACAACCGTCTAAGGTGAAAGTTGCCTCACACATCAATCTATTACCAATATACAAATCAAAATAAAAGAACTAAGGGAATCCCATCAACTCGAAACGAAGCGAGAACATGAGCTATAACTGAGGATATTACACTTAATTCTGATATTGGACTACTTATTTACTATTCTGCTAAATTTTTGACAGATTGTCCTATTTATTCATCAATTGATTTGACACATAATGAATTCCACCGATCATAAGTAAACTGTTCATGCTTGAAGGTGTTGTTTGTATATCATACATTAGAATTGAGAAAAAGGACCAATCAATTAGCTTCTTCTGAAAACTGCCAAAATGTGAAATAAGGGTTCAAAAGTCAGATGAAACCTGCATAATTAAAAAAATGATAAACACTGTATACAAAATTCAGAAAAAAGCGTACCGTTTTACAAGACATAGGTGTTTGAAGATTGCGATACATTTTATCGAAATAAAGATATTATTTTTACATCGCGATGACCTTGAGGTCATTCCGATGTATTGCTATCTCCTAGATTTCCATTATGTAAATTAGTTTTGGGTTTGTAACCGATCTATAAACATGATAAATATGCGCACATAATCGAGTGCAAAATAACATTCCTTATCGTTTGATATAAATACATCTCTTCAATGAATACTGATAAAAATATTTTTGTTTACAACATAAATTAATAATATGAAAATGTTTTGTAGTTAGATATATATATATAAGTAAAAAATCATTGATAATATCAATGCACACGTACCGAAAAATTGTGTTAAAGCATGCGGAAGAATATCTCAAAGAACGTTTTGCGACAATACCGGCAAGGACCGGTAACTCTGTAATTGTTTTTGCGGGAAAATATGAATGCCTACTCGTATCCAATCTTTATAGAAAAATCGAATTTTTACAGAAAAGTGTCCACCATGCACTTGCATTGCACTATTATTAGAATAGTAGAATAGAATGATATACAACTGGATGCAAATCAGATATATATGTAACTGTTATTTTAATATAATATATAACAACAAATCAGTGTATACTGATTTGTATCACTACAATATAATAGTTATTACGGTGAAGTTGAATTTCCTGTCATTTATTTATCATCCACGCACGAACTTGTCTCAGAAAAAAATATATCTCTGTACATTTACCTCAGTTTCTGGTAAAGAGATATGTTGTTTTTTTCTGAGACAAGTGCTTTTGACCATCCTCAAGAACTTGTGGTCATCCGATGTTCAGTACTTCAGTACTTTGATTTCAATATCAAACGGAAGACAATTTTACTGCACCAGATGGGCATTTCGACAATTAATGTCTCTTCGGTAATGCTCAAGTATGGAGGAGAAAGTATATTTATTACAGATAATGACATTATTATAAAGCAATAGCATATATCACGATAACGATATTCCATATCAAGATAATGATACGTTGTATCTGGATAACGATGTACTGTATCGGGATAACGTTCTACTGTATTGGGATAACGATATTTTGTTCCTTGTTTTGTCGCTTCTGGGGGGGGGGGGACAGTATCAAAAGGAATAATGCCAGGTTTGTAGACAGGACAAGAATCCCGTATTGTTAATAAATCGCCCATCGTACGATTCCAAAGTCACATTCAGTAGTAAGTATTAATGACAGGAATATGAAAAACACGATAACGATTAAATGTTTATACTGGAACGAAAATCAAGACTTATCTTAAATTTTACGGTGATGTTGTAAACCGAGCCCGGAAATTTAGATACGATCCGGGTAAACTTGTCAATCCTTTAAATAAACTTATTCTAAAAGGTTACCTATTTAGCTAATTAAATCTTTGAATATTGTTTTTATTGGTATAAATATTGATTTTGTTATCAGTAAATAAAAACCATACTAAATATTACACATATGTACTTTCACGGTACTACAATCTTTCGATACCTATAGTTTGGCATTGCGCAAGGCCATGTTTTTCTCTGACTGTTAATGACGTCTTTACACCAAATCCATTGGATGTGTCCTGATTGATATTTTAGTTTTAGATACATGATTTTTTTTATTGGTTGTTGTTGGCTTTGAACTAGCTGTCAATAACACTGCGAGTACTTTCAGATCTGTACTTAGTGTCTTTTTGTTGTGGGGATGCATAAGTACCCGTTCACGTCCACTCTGTGTTTTTGTTAGATGTATTTTTATTTGTATCCATCTGATGAGTTAAGCCTTTTTCAAGGATTTTTATAGTTTGTTCTTATGTTGTACTGTTACACCACTGTCCCAGGTTAGGGGGAGGTTTGAGCGCTCATAAACATGTTTAACCCCGCCACATTCTTTATGTGCCTGTCCCAAGTCAGGAGCCTGATTCATGTCTGTTTTCATATTTGTTTTTCGTAAATTGTTTTGATATAAATTAGGCCGTTAGTTTTCTCAATTGAATTGTTTCATATTATTCATGTCGGGGCCTTTTATAACCGACCATACGGTATGGGTTTTTCTCATTGCTGAAGGCCGTATGGTTGCCTATAATTGCTTACATACACTTCATTTGAACTTTGGTGGATAGATGTCTCATTGGCAATCATACCACATCTTCCCTTTTTATATTAGTTATGAAGACAACCTTAAAACTTTTGACATTATCATTTGTTCACCTTACTAGTCAACATACTACTTAAAATGTGAATAAAACATGTATTTAACCTACTGTTTCTACTTGAACATCCTGACTCGTATATAGTAGCAACATGTCATCACCATCCGATAAGTCAGTGATATCGACTGGCATTGCTGGAAATAAGCAATCAGTTGTTCTAAATGACATGTCAAACGATATATATACAGATAACAACTCAAAATAATAAGAAGAAAAAAATGATGCCAAATAAAACGCTTAATTCAGCATAGTAATAGATTATTATAACATAACGTTTGTCTACTAGAAACATATTATTTCATTCACATTATGAATTTGTATTCTATAAAATTCAACCGGGGGCATCCTATAGGTTTCTTGAACGTTGGGATATCTGTTTGGCCATCGTTTAAAAACAACATCAGTAAAGCCGTGTGTTTATCATACCCTGCGTCAAATGGGACATACGAAAATGTGTTATATCTCTGAGGTTTTTCCAAACCACATTCACAACAGGTAGCATTTTTCACGCTTAATGATTTAATTATTCTTATTTGCACAGAGAATATACCTCTGCTTTAAAAGGAGAGGCGGGTGATACCAAAAGGATATTCAAACTCATAAGTCGAAGACAAAGTGACTCAATGGAAAATAACGAAAAACAAATAACAGCCTACAAAACAACACAACACAAAACAACAAACTAAAGACTGATCACCCGAAACCACAAGAACGGGTGTTATCTGGTGGGTGAGTAGATTCTGCCCAAAATGTAATTCCCTTTGAGATGCTCACGACAGTACAAATTCGTTGATAAGTTTTATTCGTTGATGTCATATTTGAGGGAGAATTGACGGGATTGTGGTAACGGCAATTGGAAATAAGCATTTGTGAAACAGATATTCCATAACGACCAAACCTCTCGGGACGGCATCCGTTAAATTTTTGAAGGGATGACATAAACTTTGCCAACTGGAACCCTTGGTTAGATAACTTCTTTGTAAGTAGCATCATTCTTTTAATGAAATGGTGATAGGAAACGCAAGCTTTAGAATATTGTATCAACTGGGGGATTTATACTCCATATGCATATGCTGATAGAATGTTGGTTCATTAAAATGGAAAGTTGAGAAGTTTACATCAACTCTTTAGTAGTAAAGTTTAGTTTTGTTCTCAATCGACCTTTATTATCAATTTCTAGATGTAAGTCAAGATATATGACAAACGTAATTAAATGTATCTGCTGTGTCCTTTATTTCATGTTTCATAGGATAGATGCGTTCAACATGGTCATTAAACTTCAATAGTGAGAGGACATCACCTATATAAGTCGACGTGAAGTATAAGAATAATGCTAGCTTCTTATCATCCCTCATATAAACATTCTGTATGAAGTCTTTCTCGAATAATAAAGGAACAAGTAGACAAGAAGAAGAGCCAAGTTGATTCCCATAGGAATGCCGATAACACGTGCAAAAAACGATAGAGTCTACGCTGAGGAAAATATACCAGCAGGTGATATCATACCGAGTCTCTTAAATCATATATATATGTTTCCCATCTTATTTTGCCATTTCATAAAAATAAAATAATAATCAGAAATAAAATCTAAAGGTCTTTTATACACCTAATCGCTATTTATTCCATTCCGGATAAGTTCTAAAATTACACAACTTTTTAATCCAGTTGAAGCTATCTGGGGTCCTGTTTAAACAATGCACCATGCATGGTACTTTTTAATGAGATCTGTTTAAAACATCGTAAATACTTCAAACAAAATATTTTTTGACTATAATTTGAGTTTCGAAAAAGTGGATCATAATCTATCAAAGTTTCGTATTGATCGCTTTCTAAATTTTTCCCTCCCTCAGCTCGTTACTGATGACCTTTGTTGTTTACCTGTTCAAGGCCTGTTGACCCAAACAGGAAGTTGTCTAAATGACTGTTCATCCTGTTTTTCCTGATTGGACTAAATAGCGATAAGGTGTATTTGCACTGGTAATACATCAGGGATAATACAAAACAAAACGTTTGCCTTTTTAATTCCTGTTTTCCAGTTATGTGTACATTTGCTTGGTTGAAAAAGAACATACACAATTGAATTTTTGTTTTACCTTTTTTAGCCGATTCCAAATCTGTATCATAATGAGCGAAAGGCTCAACTTTTTCTTTATCTCCTGTCGTCGGGTGGTTTTTGTGTATATTACCAGCCTATAAATATAAAGAGACGGTTTTGCTAAGTCCTGTTAAATGATTTGGCTCAAAGTTTCATTAATGAAAAATCATATCACAAAAATTAAGTTTAAAATGTGTTTTGCCATATGGAATACCAATTGAGATTTAAAATTATATTTAATTAATTTTGGCATCTTTTCTCCCTTATCTAGATCGGACCAGAAACAAATCTTTGATCTTAAACATTCAGACAGATGTTCTTTAGAATGAACAGAAATATCCCATTGTGCTTAGACTCAAACTTCTTTTGTAATGAAGTATAATGACAACGATTTTTATTTAAATTTTTTTCGGTGTTTACGAAATTTCTTTCTCTAATATTCACGAGAACATTGACAACACAATTAAAACTCAAATTAAGAAACTCAGAAGTTAACTCTGTTTATGGTGAAAACACAACTAAATGTTAATTAGCAAGAAAATTATATGCAAATAAAACATGAAAGTGTATATATTCTCTTTGATAGTACATGCATCAATATGAGAGAAATGATGAACATTTAAAAAAAAATTTCAAACAGCTTCTTTTGCCAGTGAAGTTTAGAACGCTTGGTAATTCGAATTATTACCAAGATACAAACTTATATTTTACAAACATATATTTTCTGCTCTTTCGTCGGGTTGTTGTCTCTTTGACACATTCCCCATTTCCATTCTCAATTTTATATACATAAGATATATTTTGACGAATCAAATTAAAACTATACCTCCTGTACGTTTGCCAATGCTGCCAATATTCCCTCGCAGGCCTCAATGGTTTGTTCCTTACTACTTGTACTTGCTAATTCTTCTAATTTATTTGTCATACTAACAGCTATATCAGCAGCCTTTTCCTGTCATATAAATCACAACACGTTAGCTCTCAATTTCAATATTTGATTTCTATGTAACTGCATTTTTTATAACAAAAAAAGTTTTAAGGCACAGTTGTGTCCCTTTTTCGAATTTAATTTATGTTTACTCCCAAAAGAATGGTCTGCATCTTAAATATAATATATAATAGAAATATAAAAAGTTATAGAGAAAATGCCCCTTATTCAAAGATCCCACATATCCATTTATGTCAATTTGAGATTTGTCATTGTTCTGGCATTGACACTGGAAGGAACTTCAGATCTCTGTTACGAGTGATGCATGCTCAGCAGAAGATATTTCTTCTCTTGAAACCTTGTCTCACTACTTTTAGAATTCATGCGATTGCTCTTTTTTCTTTGCAGTTTTTTCGTTTGCTTAGTGTTCTAGAATGCTCTATGTTGCGTAGAAACTTGGGGTGAGCAAGCTTTACCGGGTCCTCAACTGTTTCATGCCGAATACAATCAAGTTGATATGTAACAGTTTCTAACATTGTTCGAATATTGTTTTTATGCAGCAGCTTAAAAATGGCTATAATTATAGTTATTAAAATATAAACACTGTGGGTGGGAGAGGTCTACCGGGTCCTTGAACAGTTTCGTGTCTAATACAAACAAGTCAATGAGTTTCTTACATTGGTCTAATAATTTTGTTTATGCAGGTGCTAAATCAGGCTACAATTATAGTCATTAAAATGTAAACACAAACATAAACTTATTTCCCAAGGTGTTCATATTTTTGTTTGTGTTGTAATTGTTACAAATCTATGTCTTGCTCATTTGATTCTGAGTCATATTTGAAATTTGTGATGTAATATAACCTAGCATGACCAACGTAAGTATTCAAGTCATATTAACTAGTCAGTTTGAACGTATTTTTTTTATTTTTCACCTGACATTCTCTTGCACAATTTTCGGAAAACTGGGTCAATTCGGCCATTGTACTTCCAGTCAGTGCAATAGCACTTGTTGTTGCTATGGTACAGTTTTCAAGGGCTCCCAATATCTGGCTCGTAAACTAAATTGAAAAGTATAAAAGCATTATAGTTATGTAACATATCAGAAAGCACTAGTTTGCTACAGTAGCGTAAATTCGATACTATAGAATAAGAGCATTATTTACGTCATCGGATTGTCTAAAACAATCTGGAAGTACCTTTGCTTGAAGTTAACATTTGGTATCAGTTTGTTCGTAGTATTTTAGTTGACTTAAGACTTGAGATCACCCCGGTTTTTGGTGGGGTTCGTGTTGCTCAATTTTTAGTTTTCTATATTTGTTTGTATACTGTTGTTTGTCTTTTGGTCTTTTTTCATTTTTTGGCATGGCGTTGTTACTTTATTTTCGACTTATGAGTTTGAATGTTCCTTTGGTATCTTTCGCCTCTCTTTTAAGATGAAGGACTTTATCAAATAGATATAAGAAGATGTGGTATGATTGCCAATGATACAACTCTCCATCCAAGTCAAAAATTATAAAAGTAAACCATTATAGGTCAAAGTACGGTCTTCAACACGGAGCCTTGGCTCACACCGAACAGTAAGCTATAAAGGGCCCCAAAAATTACTAGTGTAAAACCATTCAAACGGGAAAACCAACGGTCTAATCTATATAAAAAACGAGAAACGAGAAACACTTATGAACCACATCAACAAACGACAACTGCTGAACATCAGATTCCTCACTTAGGAATGTATGCATATAAGTACACAATGTTAGATCAATCAGAAAAATAATATAAACACATTCTCTATGGGGTTTAGAAACTGGATGGGTGAAGTTAACCGGGTCCTTCAACAGTTTTAGGCCGAATACAAACAAGCTGATATGTTTCTAACATTGATTTAATATTGTTTTTATGCAGCAGCTACAAATGACTACAATTAGAAATATTAAAACGTAACTACAAACATAGACTTATTTTCTATCCTTAAACGAGCCCAAGATTGTGAAGAGAAGTAACGTGACATGAAATCGGCATCGAACGAAATATCACTTTGATACTGTATTTGGTAAATAAAGACAACAGGAAGTGTGCTAGCTGTAGTATATAAATATCAAAATATGAATATTAGATGTGGAGTGAACGACAATGAGGGCTTTACTTCAAAATATATTTCTATGGAAAATAAAGGCAACAGTAGTATACCGCTGTTCAAAAGTCATCAATTGATTGAGAGAAAACAAATCCGGGTAACAAACTAAAACCGAGGGAAACACATCAACTATAAGAGGACGCCAACGGAACAACAGAAACACTGAAGTGCAACAAAAACAAACGCCAACATACATAGGACATCACAAACAGTAACGTATTTTTCTAACGAATATATAATCTTTAAATTCATACAATTATTTTCTCAATACTAGTCCAAACAATTATCATGACTATGACGGTATTGAAAGGCTATTTTAAATAAATGCTGTGACGATGTCATAATTATTTGGACTAACACAATACTTTATCAATTTATATGAAGCAACATTCCAGAAGTGAAGCAAAAGGATTATTTATCTCCCAGTTGATACGATATTTCAGAGCTTGTGTTTCCTATCATGATTTCCATGAAACAGGGTCGCTGCTTACAAGGAAAATTTTAAGCCAAGAGTTCCAAGTGGTAAAGTTGAAATCATTCCTAACTTTGTGGACGACATTAGTTGATTTGCCGTTATGGAATATCTGTTTTAAAGAAAACGATACATATGTTTCAATTTAATCAAAATAACGTGGCGCCCTCTTTTCCTGAAATGTGATATCACCGTTTGAGAGTTATACCCTTGAACTTGTACTTATATGAGCAACACGAGGGATGCCACAAAGTGGAGAAAGATCTGCTTACCTTTCCGGGCACCTAAGATTGTCCCCGATTTTTGGTGGTGATCGTATTGTTCAGTCTTTGTTTTGTAGACTATTGTTTGTCTTTTCGTCGGTCGTTTGTCATACCGTTGTTAGTTTGTCTGCGACATATGAGTTTAAGGATGTTCGCTACTCTGTTTCAAAATAACAAGCTTTTTGGAAGACTGTTATAAATTGATAGTATATAAATAAAGGAACTAAAAAAGCGGAAAAAAATGAAGGGTCCGTGTGCTTGTTTTCGAGATATAAGCCATTGAAAATTTGGCGGAAAATACTTCTCTCTAGATTTTTCATACATTTTACATTGACACCTTTTTTCTTTCAAAAACGATGAAAAAATAACAAAGACTTTATAAAATTTTCAAAGATGACATTTTAAATTATATGTAATCAAATTACGGAAAGAAAAGTAGGGGTTAGTGGGCAAATTTTTTAATGGCTCTACATGGATAAAACCAGAGGATTTCGAATATCTGGCAAAAATTCAAAAACAAGAGGAGCGAACATCCTTAAACATCCTTTTGTTATCTCCCGCCTCTCTTTTTGTCTTTTTCGTTTTTATGTCAGTTGGAAATCTGCAACTCAATTATAGATGTCGTAGGATCAGCTATTGAACACTTTTATCAAATTAATGCAAAGGAATTTTGTTCTTCTAAGATCCTTACTATTTTAATAGATTCGGGGGTCTATTTTGTAAATGATTCTTATATTTGTACATACTTCCGCTCTTGTATTTCTTTTGGCTTCATATTCTTTTTTCAGCTTCTTTTTGGTATCAGGATCCATAGTTGTCTGGAAATGAAAATAAATATTTATAAATATCAAGTAAGTTTTAATGGTAATTTAATTAATTTTAAGTGATCAATTACAATGTCATGATGCATTAATTTATATGCAACATTACTATTGTAAATAGTTATTATTATATGGAACTGTAAACAACTGTCATACAAGTCAAAGGTTTAGCTAGCTATAAAACCGTGTTTAACCCACCATTTTCTTCGGAAATACCTATAGCAAGTCAGGAATATGACAGTTGTTTTCACTCGTTCCGTTGATTTATAATTTTTGATTTTGTCAGTTTTTATGGACTTCCCCTTTTTGAATTTACCTTGGACTTATTTACTAAAAGGTCATTTTCACGTTACGGTTATAGACCGTTTCAAATTTAGGTTTCAGTTGTCATTTTGGGACTCCTTTACTTTGATAAAACCTACCGAAATCCTCAAGGTATAGCGTAATATTTGATTTCGATTTTCATTTTAGCATCGAATATGTCGAGGGCTGAAATCGATTTTCGAAAAATTAAAACGGCACATTTCCATACGTCTGGTTTTGCTTCTATGTGACAATCCTATTCTTAGACTTAATGTTTTATGATACTTTATCTCTATCATCAGTGTACGTGTATTTTATCATAGATCAAAAAATTATAAAATAAAGCCATATTAGATTCGTTGGAGCAATACAAATGAGATAACATACGGTTGTAAAAGCACTAGTTCTGTCTGTGTAATCTGGTCCCATTCCCGTAGAAGTTTCCCGAGCTGCTATATCTAAGTTGTCATACTCTGGAAAATTTTGTATGATGACATTAGAAAATGATTAAACTATAATGATTCTTCTACCGATCATGATACGTAACAAAAGATAAAATGTTATACAAATGAATGTTAATATTTCAAGCTTTTATAGAAGATTTTGTAAAGAAATTTTATTATTTTCTAGGACAACAAAACAAATCATGTTTTTTTCCCAAAATAATTATCATATTCAGAAGGGGTACTTAAGGTAAGGGACTCGTCGTACAAGTCCCAGAACAAAACCTAGGAACCACTATAATATTATTGTCATGACAATTAAGAATATTTATGATATAGGGCTGGGATCTGAGCAACTTTAATATATTGAACAATTAATCATATGAAGGGGCGGGGAACAAATTTGTAATGCATACAAAAGTTCTTATGGCAATTAAGATTATATTAGTATATTGGTTAAAGGTAGGGATCTGGACTATTTTTGAAATATTTGACAATTTATAGTACAAAAGGTGCATACACTAGTACTTCGATCAAACCCTTGGATGCGCTGAAAGGATTTCTCCATGTCAAGAGAGAACATTTATGATTTTTGGGGTGGACATGAAAATATATGAACTATTGTGTTGCCCTTCGAAATTTTATTCCTATTAAATTTTTTATTATATATCTCAAAACAATTATATAGTTGATAACTTGAACGCCATAACCAATAATAGAAAAACGGTGCACAACATTGAATGTACAATGTAACTGAATCATGCACATGTGCGTGTGTAATTTATAGCCATGTGATCAATGTGATATGAAGTGTATCATGCCAAAATATTGTGCTTTTTGTGATGTGTGCTGTACATTTGTAGTGATATGACATCATTGTATAATTCATGCCATTCCATTTGTAATAAATTTACAAAACAAGTAACATTGCAGATACTAAATAATTAAAGTTATTGCCAGTAAGAAATATAATATTTTTTAAAATTTTTATTATTTTTTTTCTTTCAAAAAGTAGCTGCAACGTTACAAATGTATTTCTCAACCCGACTTTTGTATTATCCATACCCTATATACTGAGTTAAATATTTCATCCGTGTCAGGTTATACTTTTAACATGCACCTTACCTCTCTGGACACAACTGTGAAATAACTAAGAATAACATCATAAGAATCATCTGAAACAGTCAAAAACTTAATTAACACAATGTTTGTATACAGTAAATAATCGCGTGGTATATAACAAACAAGCAAATCATGCAATGCAAACCTAGTGAATCATTCTGACTGGCCATACTTATAAGGGTGCTGTATGCTAGAGCTAAGCTGTTAATACTATTAACATTCCCTTCAGCTGCTACTTTGTCGAAGGAATCAGCGATGTTGTCTTCCATTGTTTTGAAGAGATCAGTTACATTTCCAAGTGGAAGTGGATTAACCTACAAAAATCGTGTATTTGAATAAAAATTTAAGTAATTTTGAAAAAAAAATGTCCATAGTTCTAGACAATGCCACCAATATCACAATATGATCACAATCATCTGTAAAACTGTCAGTTTTTAAACAAAAGCTAGTTTTTCTTCTCATATTTTGAACCTGTTACCTAAAAATTATGTTTTTGTTTTTCAAACTCTGGTTGCTTCGACCTCTGGCAAGGTTGACATTATAGGCTTTTAGGCTGTTTTGTTAAAGCCCCGTGTTGGTTTTGATTATATTTTAAGCTTTCCTTAAAAGTTATCGTAGAAAGATTTCGGCATCATATAGTTTCAGTACCTCAGGATCAGCACTGCTTTTTGTGGACTATCAATCCTGTGGCACCATCCGCTTACTAGCAACTACGCCGGTACTAGCTTGGTTTAAATGATTTTTTTTGTTGGTGTCTTGTTATGTATTTATTCAAGACTAAAATAAAGTTGCAATTGCTTCATACAAAATTGCCTTTGAAGGATTTCTTTTAGGCCAACCCGGAAGATGACTTGATAATGTCAGATCAAACTTATCAACGTCTGTACATTCATTATGATGTCGGTGTTATGTACCGGTCAAAGTTATTTAGGCCGGGTTAACGTATTTGACGTCACAAAGCCGCGATATGCAATTTGATGAAGAGCTAAGCAGAGTGATACTGACAGTCGGAACACCGATTAGTATAAATATCAAGTTTTCTACACATTGATATCGTAAAATATCAGCCGGGCGCCACAATGTGAACCTTTTTGGAGAGTAAGCGAGTTTAATTTATAAACAAGACTTTTTCACCAAAATTTAAAGTCACAAATCAAATTCAAGACAAATATACCAGATTTGACATGTAACTTTCTATACATGCATATAAACAGAGAATAAATGAAAGGCAAACAAAAATAAGGCTTCTTTAAAATTTGCTGTTTTGAGTGTATATTCTGACGGGTAAGAATTTTCAGGACAACAGTTCCACATAGCTTTTAAATTAAAAAACGGAATATAGTACTGAAAATAAAGTAATAGTCTTTTCCATTCCTTTAGACACATGATGAAAGTAAGCTCGATAACGTCTCCTCACGATAATGTCGGTCACGTCTCAAAGCCCTGATACGAGAATAACGGAGCGACTGAGCAGGTCATATAGGCGAAGGGGGGATGATAATACTTCTCACAGACCTGACATAGTGCAGGAGATTCTAAAAAAAGAAAATGGGTATTGATATCGAGTTTGATCATTACTAGTATGATGCATGCTGTTTCATATTCCGAACTAATGGTATATAAAAAAGATTTAACCACCATCTGAATTATAAGATAGAAGATTTTAACAGAAAACTTCTAGTACCTGAATTTCTCCCAGACTAAATTCCATAAAGGATCCAGTTTTGTCTTTTATCCTAACATAGCATAACATTTTATAGTCGTCATAATCCGGTCCTAATGGCATATCTCCATTATAGAAATTATCACTTCCAAAATATATCTGTTTTGAAACTTTATCATCCTTAAATGTACCTGTAAACAAAATCAACATTTAGTCCCCGAAATTGCTTTGATCGGTATTATAAGTCCCCGAAATTGCTTTGATCGGTATTATAGGAAGTATACAGTGAAAAATGCACGGTACACGTGTTATAATTAATTTATACAGAATTTTCTGTGTTCGAAGAGCTTTCCTGAATTAACTTCATCAACAGTATTCAGATCATAACAATCTAAAAATGAAAAATGTTGAAATGTGGACCAATATAAAAGTTAATTGAAGATTTTTTTTAATTTTTGAACATCTATGGTGAGTTATGAATAAAAACACTTCATGTAACGATTTTTTTTTAATTACATTTTTGTCTAATTTCTGATGAGACTGAATAAAGAAAACAATCAAAAATACTTACAATACATCTGATATTCTGCAATACCATCATCGTCTGTCCATCCACTGCAAGTTATGTCAAACTTGGTCTGCAATACAATTCCAATTTTCGGAGTTATTGTACATGTTCCGCCACTAGGTGGTGTGTTCAGTATCAAGTTGGTAAAAGCTGTTCCACTATCTCCACCACTCGTGGTAGCAGATATTGACACTTGGTATTGGGTGACGGTAGGATTTAGACCGAATAGTTTCTTTTGTATAGCGATATTCATAGAGTTGATGCCTAGAACCAAAGTTTACTAATTATATTTCATTATCATATATGAACACTTTTATGATAATGACTATATAATAATGCATTTTAACACCCGGCTTTTGACAGTAACATTATTTCGAATTTTCCTTTAAATCTGTCTGTTTAGCTTACTAAATCTTGAAACAGGTTTTAACTATAATCTTGTTGTTTAATCATACCTGTTTATATTTATCGGAATAAAACCATTTGCTCATTTATAGTTTTAAGTAATAAAAAAGTGCATCGTTAATTATTTTTTCTTCAATAAAAATTCTGTACAATTTTTTTTTACATTTCACAGCACCATGTCTTCCTGTACTTTTAATGACGTTGTCGTGTGAGATTTACTCTGAAGAACACCCACTTATAATCGATTGTAGGACGACAAGTTTCATGTCAGCAGACTAAGTGCTTTGAACTTGCTTTCAGATACTGCACGATTTCTTTGTTACGGTACCTTTTAATATTGCTTTGCTTATACTAATGTTTTTCTTATTTGTTGTACTGGTATTATATATTATATTATTAAGTGGTTATCCTGATGTCATATGTACGGTCCGTTTCTGTTGTGAGTCTACTAATTGAGATTAAAAAAAGAAGCAAAATACTAGTTGAACCCTGCAAAATGTCCTGGTGCCTGTACCAATTCTGTAGTAGCGACGTTTTTTATCGTAGTATCGTAAGCCATTCCTTGAATTTGGTGTTTGATGTTTTATAATTGCCTTTTATTTGCCTTGTTCACTGTTTTGCAGATGCAACAAAAACATTTGAACTTATGTCCTGATTACAAAATTCTTAGATTTTGCTTATTTGTGGCTGTTTCAACCAAAGCTGTATACGTTTTCAAAGTATTCTTTAAATATCAAGCGGCTTAAACTAACTGTCTCAAGACTAATTCACAAAATAGGCAAGACTGATACACGCGTATTACCGGCATTTATTGTTATTATTGCATTGCAATTATAAATATATTCATAACTTAAAGATTTCTCAAATGAAACACCCACTTTGCAGAAAAGATACAAATACTAAGCAAGCTATAAAGCCATGTAACTGGTTCTGCAACTAAAATATATTACAATCTTATCAATTTAAGATACATTGTGCTACTACATAAACGAAAAGCCGACAGATGGCGAAAAGGAAAAGGGCAACTAACATAAACACAAAAAACGGGTATACATGATTACTCACCTCATCTATAATTCTCACTAATGTTTAACAAGCAGCAAAGTGGCCAAATAGTCAAATGATAATAAATGGTACTGCCTTACCCAATAAGATAGTTATCCTTTTGCTCATTTCTAAATGTTAAGGACAAGTTCTCACAATGAGGCTTTTCTGGCAGCTTTTGAACATTTTACTTCAAACACAATTGTGCCTCTCCCAAGTCAATAGCTAATCATTGGCTGACTTTAGTGAACTTAGAATGTATTTTTGTCATTTAGGGAAGTTTGTGTTGCTAGCATATTTTGTATTGTCTTTGTTATGTTTATTCAAAACTTTTCTAAATTCATAAAGACTCTTGTCTATTTTTGAAGGTTGAATGTTGAACTCTAAATATGTGTGTGTGGGGGGTGCGGATGTGTGTGTGTGTGTTGTTTGCTAACTGAAGCATTGACTTATACCCGAGTCACTTCTTCGTCATTTGTGAGACAAAATTCAAAAAAATTAAATATAATTCAAACTTATATGAAGGATGTTAGTTGATAGATTTTTTTAGTTTTTAAATTCAAGGGGTAAAATACGTGGCCTTACAATAACTTCTCCCTTTTGATGAAAAATACTTCACATTTAGCACACTGGTTTATTGGTTATTATGAGATTTATTTTCAATTGGACTTGAAATAGTTTTTTTCCTGTATGAAGTTGGTTTGGTCATCATAAAGTAAAAGGTTAAGAAACTGTTACATTTGCAAACAACGCAACTTGCAGCTGCATTAAAAAAAACGAACACAACACTTAATAAATTTTATGCGTTTAAAGCGCTTTTCTGGATTTACCTTAATCAGGAACGCTCATAGCCAAAACATTTAAAGGTACCGAAATAAGTTAAGAGCCAAAAGGGACCTAAAAATAATAGCAAAATGAATCCAAGCTTTAAATTTGCATGATTAAGTTGGTTTATATTTTTGCGCTAGTATTGCATCTTCCAAGCTATGCTTTCTCAATCCCGCAATATCATGATGGAATAGAGACATTTCTGCTGATTTATCAAAATCTTATAGTAACACTAACCTTATTGTGTAAAATGAAATATTCAAACTAATATAATGTATGACAAAGTAGTCATTGTTTATTGGAGATTTAACTACAAACAACAAAAATCGGTTTAAAGGTATAAACGTAAAACAGCTTCAAAATAAACTTAACCAGATAAGTGAAATCAAATGCTTTCAAGCAAAATACAAAGATATATAAGACAATTAATACAGTAAAGCTAAAGAATCATGGGTTATATATATTTTGCAGAAGCGCTTTCGCCAGTTTCGACTAAATCTAATAAGTATTGCGAAAGCTAAGGAGGCTAAAAGTTATCTAAATGCGTGTTATTAGAACAATTGTTCAGTAGTTAGTAAAAGCCATCCATAATGCTCACCATTTACTCCTGGAATAGTAATGCGTTCAGTGGCGTACAAATGCGCGCGCATGTAGCAGTAAAAATATAAAAATATAACATTTTGTAATTAGTGCAAAAGATTACTAAAAGTTATATTTCTTAAAATATAGAAACGTTTTAACCTTAATTATCTATATATGTTATATGCCGTTGAATGTTAAAAAGAGGCGTAATAAAGAAATAAATGAATTGAATATTTTAAAATCCATATTATTTTGATTCATTTACAAAAAAAATTACCATCTGAATAAGTTGGTAATTCGAGCACTTCTTTCCATATCCACTGATGGTCCTTTGTATATATCTTCCATTCATACTTTGTACTTGAGTCACATCCAGTTGAACAATACCCTAGTAACCCCAGACGTGTTGACGGTGCAATTCTCAACCCATCAACTGTCGGTACACATAGTTCTTCATTCGAGCACCTATGAACAATTTTGAAAAAAAACCTATACTCATTGACATATGTCATTTAAACAGCATAATATATTATATGCACATTATTGGCAAATATATAATTTATTTTTAATATGAACTATAACAACATTACTTATGTACAGACTCGGTGTGTCATATTTTCTACGCTTGGTAGACGTAAAAAACTACGTTTTATGCACACCAATATACAGGTAGCAAATGGTATTATTGCAGTAGAACTGGTTATTTCATTAATATTAATTTTCATTATTGTTCTAATTTAATTGTGGAAGACTTACTCTCACAAACAAACAATGACGTGTGATTTTGTTAAGAAAGTCACGTCTGTAATCTTTTAGGCTTTGTCTTAATTACATTGTAAGAGTCAACAGTAGTCCACCGAATCGTTAAAATCTCGTTTAGTCATATAGAATAAACAAATCAAGGTAAAAAAAACAAAATCTGATGTCGTTACATGAATTCTAGAGACTGACAGCGTTGATATGGTAAGCCTCTTAATGTACATGCGCCACCCGCCATGCAAATATTTACACTAATTCAAAACGTCGCAATGGGAAAATGGTTGCAACCTTTTTTGCAGATCAGACAACTTGTCTGGAATCTAAAGATCTTCAACCATCATAAGTTTCTAGCTGACGACGCACTTGTAACTCAGTTGTCAACAAATTACTATGCTAAAATTGTGTGTTTACAATTGAGCGAAAAGATTTTTGTGCTTACAAACGCAATGCCATGTTTGCACTTTATTTCCGTTTGATAATGATAAGTCAATACAATTTGCTTTAAATTCAAAAGAATAATATATTCGTTCTCAGATTGCGTTTTGATCATTTAATTTCACATTCAGATATAGTGATGATGTTCTTTCCATTAACAATCCATACTTTTCTGATTGGTTTATATTAATATATCCTCCCGAACTAGAAATTTAAGAAACAACAGACACGGCTTCCTCCGCCTCATTTTTAGACTAATAACTCGAATTTAACATATGCGGTCATCTCAGTACCAGAATCTATGACAAACGAGACGATTTTAATTTTGAAATTATCAATTTCCCCCACCATTGTGTTTTTCTTTGTTGACATATTTGTTTGTTTTATAGTGATTAAGATTATAACACAATGTTGACTGCTGTACCCCTATTTTTGTCATTTGTATTATGTCTGTTTGTTTTGTTCACACATTGTTGTCAATATAATGGAATTTATGCGACTGTCATGCAAGTGAGAGGTTTAGCTAGCTATAAAACCAGGTTTAATCCACCATTTTCTATATAAGGAAATGCCTGTACCAAGTCAGGAATATGACAGTTGTTTTCCATTCGTTTGATGTGTTTGAGCTTTTGATTTTGCCATTTGATAAGGGACTTTCCCATTTGAATTTCCCTTGGAGTTCGGTAATTTTGTTATTCTACTTTGTTTTGTCCAAAATGCTTCACGAAACATACACGTTTAACTAGATCATACTTTCTTTTAATTTAAAAATTGTATCTTTTATATTTTGTTTCTTCGCGTTACCAATTCTATCATATTCTAACAGAATTTTTATAAGATGATTGCAAATAGTAAAGATGTAATGCCACTACAGTCTAAAGACAATATGAAGAACATTAAGGCGGGCGTGCTATATGTAGTGGTAGGTTCGAAAAATCATATCTGTTTTCAGTGGAAAGCGGGATACTTTGATCCGACCGATTAAAAGTTCTTTTAGTATATCAATTTGTTATATTTGAAGATGATATCTTACTTAATTTCAATTTCTGGGGGTATTCCTTCAACTATGTTAACAAATGCCGATGCCTCTGCGGGATCATGACCATTTTTGAAAGCAACGACTTTGAACTCGTACGTCTTATTAATCTTCATGTTGCCTGTGTCAAATTTTAAGCTTCCCGCATCTGTATCAACCCGACCAGGACCCAATTTAAAGCAACCTCCGTAATCATTGGAGACACTGGGAAGGTCTGCAGTACTATATGGCGAGGAAACAGTTTCAGGAACAGGCCATGATTCACCAACCTCTCGGCAATACCAAGTAAAGTTAGTAAAAGTCTGTTAAAATATGAAAAATAAAAATAAGATTACTGTAAATTCAGAAATTTTTGCGTGTATTAATGATTGCAACCATTGAACAATCGACACAAATGCGAGATTGATTATTTAAATTTCAGGAAATGCTACATATTAAAAAAGGTTATCATTTAAAAATGCGGATTTTTGGTTTTGCGAAACATACATTACAATGTTCGCAATAATAAAAACATCGAAAACATTTAATAATAACAGTACTTTCTCTTTTTGTATATACATACTAGATCTTAATCAGTGTCATTGATACTTATTTCAAGAAAAAAATTGAAAGCATATTAAAGGTTTTTCAAAGAAATCAAAAATACTGAATCGCTAGTTTGAAGATAATAAACACTTCTCTATTTTTTTCAGACATCACGGATGACCGAATTTAACCATTTTTTCAGACATCACGGATGAACGTGTTTAACTAGATCTCATTCCGATACATCGAGTGCACATTATCATATGAACAATTCGACTTTGAACAAAAACAGTTCCTAAAAAGTTTAAAATAATAGTTGACATAACTATTTTTTCAAAAACTACCGTATCCTTTTTAATACACCTAGTTCTTATGTTAAAAACATTAACTCACTAGATATTTTTTAGAGATATTACATATTTTTCAAGCTATTTTTCTTTTCATTGTATATATGAGAATGAAAACAAGAGTCACTAAATTCTTTGGAGAGCTTGAAAAATCTTGTCTAACGGACGAAAAATTAGTCTGCTTGAAAAAGAAGTATTTATTAATTATATAAGTTAGTTCAATCAAAATTATATATTAATACCTGTGGGGAACCTGTTGGTAAGTCTGGATCATAAGAATTGCTGTACGGGTCTATTGTTAGCATTGTATTGATGCCTCTTTGTATTTTCGTCATTCCACCAGAAAATATTTTTACAACCAGTTTCGATGATTTTAATTTTAAGTACGTAACGGCAGTCGACTTAAATGTTTCGTTATTTGAAAACGAGTCTGCTGCCATTTCCATAGTATAAGCTACTTTATAAAGGCCTTTGTTAAGAAAAAGACTTGGAAGATCCAATTCTGCCTTCAGTCTAGAATCGATACTAGACAAGTCAATAGACGATGTTGTTGTACCATACTGCTCATCTACGGTTTCTACTGACCACTGCTTAACGTTCTGTAAAAGACTCCCACAGTCAATTCTTGTAACTCCAATCACACGTATCCTAGATTTTCTTTCAATTTCCTCGGGTTCCCAGAACTTGACATATTTATATTTTATATCAATTTGTGGTTTTGTACAGTCTATGGAAGAAACAACATGAAACACAGAATAATCTGATGTTGAATACGCATTGAAGGCATGTACTCTCACGTCGTATGTGTTCTTACTTGTGTATGTATGAGTAGCCTGAAGACTACTACCAGAAAAGGTCGATACATATGTTGCTGACCCCGCATATGAGCTACCAGAACAAGAAGCAGCGTCACCAAACATTTCAGCAATACCGTCTCCATAATCTATAAACACGCAAGTTTTTGTTCCAGGTTCAGCAAAAGAAATATCAAAGAGTTTTGTTTCATTTTCAGATGTTGGCTTTCCGTTGTCTGCTACGCTTACATCAAGGACGGCTTTCATTACGTCGATTGTTGTAGAAACCGATTTAGAATCTATTGGATTATGTGCCGTGATATCTACTGTGTAAGTGCCGGTCTGAAAGATTGTCAATAAAAATATAACGTTTATTTACGACGAGAAAGAAAATGTATGTTTGTTACGTCACAATGAAATATACCAAAATATGGTGTGTTCGAAGCACTGTTAGATAAATCTTCGTTAGGAACGATCAGAGCGGAAAAAAAATTGAAGGTAAAAATGTATAATACTCAGTGACCAATAAATTTAAAAAGCATTGTGAAAAGTTGTCAAACCCCTTGGTTGTAAATTTTTTGAATGCATTCCTTGTGCATGAAATTAAACAAAATTTATATTAAAGACGGGAACATTTATAAAATCCTTTTATTTACCAAATGGTTTTCTAATGAAACTTTTTCACTCAATAATCCCACTTAATTAAGAGAGTGTTTTATATCATCTATCCAAGTGGATATTTCATGAAGATAACCAAAGAGACAAGATGATCTGATTCATATCATCAATTTGAAAAATTAAACGAAGATGTCCATCGCAGAACATGTTGGCAATAAGTGGAAAGCTGACAAGGCAAAATGAAAATTAATGTTTTGTCATATGTTCTACTTCTGCGATGGACATCTTCGTCTAATTTTTCAAATTCATGATATGAGTTCTCCAAACGAAACATACTACAGTGTAGCTGGCACGGTTTAATTCGTTAATGTTTATATGGTCAAATGTTTATGACCTTTATTTTTCATTTTAACTATTTACTAGAACTTGAGTTCTTGCGGGGAATGTGTCATATTGAAAAGTAACATTTGCAGGGCTGATACTTTTTGGTCACTGGTTTTTCCAATACAATGATCCGATATGTTAGCAATGGTGCTTTTGTCAATGTAGAAATAATGAATTAGCTACAACACTGTTTATATCTTATTGCGATGGCTATTTTACCAACTTATTTACGAAAAAGAGACGATTTTTTCCTCCCATCATAAATTATCCTTTGTTGTACGGTGATTTCCTTGAATCCAATTTTACGTTGTGTATATTTCCAAGTTCTTTCGCTAAAACGTATCTGTAGTTACGTCCTCAATTTTGATGAACACAATTTAGTATTTTAAATGGTAAATCTTTGAGGCAAAGATGTCGTAACTATATATCACCATAAATTATGTCAGGGACCTTTTACAGCTTACTGTACGGTTAGGATTTGCTCATTATTAAAGGCCGTGTGGTGACTTTTAGTTGTTTATATCTTTGTACTTTTGTGTGTGTGCATAGCTGACGTATTTGCAGCCATACCACATCTTATTAATTTTTTGTATTTTGGGTTAAATTATTTCAACCATCTGTTTGGTTTTAATATAAAGGTGTCTTTCAATTGCAGAAATCTGCTAGTAAGTTTTGTATATGAATTGCTTTTCGAAGTCTATTTTTTAATTTGACTTTGACGACAAGGCATTGTAAAAAGTAATTGAATAAACAATATTTGTAACAATTGCACCTCAAATGAAGGTCTATGTTTGCAGATACTTGGAATTTTTGAAAAAAATATAATACTATATATTACCTCGTTAAACTGTATTTCGAACACATCTTCTGTTGTTTTGTTGCACATTATAACAACTGCTCCATTCGATGCTGTAATACTATAGTATACAAAGGTACCTGAAATACAGGTTTCCATTGCAACAACTCAATTCTAACTTTATTTAACGTTACTGAAACTGATTAGAGAATTTTCGGATGTTCAATGTTGAAAGTATTTTTCAAGTGAGATTGGAAAACTATATGTGTTTTAAATCCGTTTGATTGTTTTCTGATTTTGGATGCACTTGGGATGTCTCTGGATATTCATACGAAATGTATAGGGAGAAAAATGTATTAGTAATAACAAGATTTTTTTCAGAAGTTTATTTGAGATGCAAGTTCTTAAAAAATAAAGAGCAAAACTGGGGGTTCTCGGCAATATTTTCAAAGCATTGCGTAAACTTTCTTGTTTAATTTTTATTTTAATTGAATTGCTGATGATAAAACGTTTAATGAAAATTATAAAGATATATATCATTCATTATAGTTGTGAATACTTTACAAAAAGATCAGTGAATATCTATTTCAATATGTGGACAATCGTGCATTTGTTCGATGATAAATTTCATTTCAAGAAATTCAAACACATCAATTAAAGTTATGTAATGTAGACCAGTTTTCAGTCACACATACCCTCGGTTTTTGACATATGGAAACGGACTGGTCTATCCAACTGGAAAATGTCTTTATTTGATCCAAATCCATCTACATCTGGACCGTTGATTGGTATAAATTTTATAAACTTAGGTACAACAGCTAGCCCGACAAATTTCAAGTAAACACCACTCTATAAGATGAAATAAGGAATTTTAAAGTTATAGTACATTCTATGAAATATTTATTAACTAATAGAACTACAAGTATAAGCAAATATGATAAAATCTTGTTTCAATGCCTATAAAGGCAAGAAATCAAATAATCAATACGCAATTCTTTTAATGGGAGACAAAGATGTTATATGAATCAATTGCACGGTGGATATAAATTCCCCTGGATGTCTTTTTAAAGTCATATGAAACGAGTTTCTAGTGATTATAATGTTAAGGAAATTATTGATCTAATGCATGCATATATACTAAACTAAGTCCTTATTATATATTTTATATTTATTACGAATCCATAACGTATAATCGACAAAAATTGTTGTATTCGGTGATTGCTGATGGAAAACTTCTTATTAACTTTTAGGTTTTAGTAGTGAAGTTGACCATGATTTAAAAAAAACATAACACATAATCACGGAGCACGTTTATAATAAGTGTTTATTTGTTGTTCTGGGGCCTCGGTGGCCGAGTGGTCTAAGTAGTTACTACTGTAATCACTAGCCAGTCAACACTGAGGTTGTGAGTTCGAACCCCGCTGTGCGGGTGCACTCGACTCCAATCTTAATTGACTAGGATTGTCAGTATTCCTATTGAAGGTCGGTGGTTTTCTCCGGGCACTCCGGCTTCCTCCACCAATAAAAACTGGCCGCCACGAAATAGCCCAAAAGCGGTGCTTAAAAGTGGCGTTAAAACACCAAAAAATCAAAAATCAAATTTATTTGTTGTTCTTAAATTGGCCATACTTTCCCATCTGTTAAGTAAACTTTGTCATACCAGTTAATTATTTGGAGTAATAATAGATTTTCTTCCAGAATCGATTGATATTATCTTCCTTCCACGTTTTTTTACTTTTTACATTTTCGATCACGTTTTTTCCTTCGCACTTGCTTTGTGTGATTGCCTATTTTCTGTCATACTAAATCTGCTCATTTGTTTACCTCCCTTGAATATCTTTATTCTTGGTTAACCTACTGTAAGTAAGTTTGTTCAGCTCTGCTCTCACATTGTGTCGATACATTCTGTGTAATTGTAACGAAGTCGTGATACGGAGCGACTGAGGAGGATGATATACTATAAACACTTGGATTACAGTAGCCCTGATTTGATGGTATTTCTCACATATACATATCATATAGATAAAAGAAGATGTGGTATGAGTTCCACTGAAACAACTCTCCATCCAAGTCACAATTTGTAAAAGTAAACCATTATAAGTCAAAGTACGGCCTTCAACACCGAGCATTGGCTCACAACGAACAGCAAGCTATAAAGGGTCCCAAAAATGACTAGTGTAAAATCAATCAAACAGGAAAACCAACGGTCTAATCTATATAAAAAACGAGAAACGAGAAACACTTATAAACCATATCAACAAACGACAACCACTGAACATCAGGTTCCAAATCAAAGCTTAAGTATTTCATCACAAAAATATATATCTAGATATATACTTACAAATAGTTGGACTATTTTTGTAGATACCAGATTAGACAGTGTAACAGTAGTAACATAATTTCCATCAGTGGTATAGGTATGTGTAAATACTTGAGTAGATCCACTTGATGTGGTTAACCATGTTGCGTCTTTATATTCTTCTGTACCGTCTCCATAGTTGACTAGTAAGGTCGCACCTGTTGGAGCAGGTGTTCCACTATATAGGAAATTAAAGTTAATGGTGCCACCTAGAAAAAAATCATCGAATTATTTTTTTATTATAATATCTAGAATATATTTACGAACTTCTGATTCTTTGGGCCAACTATGGATTCTTTAATTTCGTGGATACTAATTTCCGTGGGTTAAGGAAAAATGTATTTTCGTGCATATTGATTTTGTAGATTAAGTATGCATACAAGCCTATAGAAATTTTACTTCATTAAACATTTAAATTCGTGGTTCACTTGCACTAATGAAATCCACGAAAATTGGTATCCTACGAAAAAAAAATACACAGGATGTTGATATTTCTGTTGTAAAATTGACGGATCTTTTCCTATTTGTATATTGGTTTCATTTATGGAATAAGTTCGTAATGAAAAGTTGTTACAACTTAAAAATAGGTATAACTTTTTATTTGATATGGAAAGGCTCTAAATGTAATACAAACTTACTACATAATTTCTTTTAACTTTTATGAACCAAAGGTAGATGTAAATGCTAGCAAATTTTATGCCACATGTTCTAGACCAATTTTAAAAGCAATCTAAGAATTCAAATTCCGGGGCTCCGTATATGCCCAATTAGATCAGTCAAGCCAGAAACGTATGTTCTATAAGATATAGTACCAGTATCGGCCCTACAGTTAAGCATTAGGTGAAGCCATTCTGGTGGGGCGTCATTCGCATCTATAATTAGAAATATTAAGTAGCATATACCTAAATTAAAATTTTGAGGATGATTTGAAGTAACATCCGGGTCTATTGTGATTTTCTTCTGGCATATTATGTCTTTGGTTGTCACAATTGTTTCCATAGTACTTTTAGCTGTTATTGTAATTGTGTGTGTTCCTTCCGTTGAATACGTTGCAACTTTAGTGTCGAAGCCGGAGGGACTAACTCCTGAAATAAAATTATTAATAAAATGTACATAATCCGGAAATTATTAAGAAACAAATATATTTTGAAATCTTTCTGCAGCTATTAAGGCTTTGATAGTGATGAAATGATTACAAATTGAATTGAAAAGTTGTTGGCCTATAATTTAAACCATTCATGCTCATATCTATTTAATTTGCTACTTTTATGATTTTTCTATAAGCTTAAAAGGCTTCAACTTTGAACTTGATCTTTGCAAAAAAATATCTTGTAAATAGAATTAAAAGAACTAAACTGACAAATTGTATTTTCCCTTTGAAAGAAAAAGAATGGTCTTCAATCTAAATATGTATTTTTGTTTTTTTTTTGGTTTTTTTTTTTGGAATATGCAGCCATTTGACAATCTATCAAATTTTGATGCGAAGTTTTCAATACTATATTCCTAAAATACATCATTCAACTCCGATCAGTTAAGTTTACAAATAACAATCACCAATCAAATGTGGACTAATGTTAAGTAAACCAAATCACCATATTAGCATATCAACGTTTTGTTTACAATTCTGTTCAATTTTGTCTTAATCTATATTTCATTGTCGGACAATGAATAAAAGGTATTTGTACAATCAGTTGATAAAATAAATATTCACATTTACCATATCGCATTTACTGAGAAGAATGGCAATATCTTACAATTCAGAGAACATGTTTTCCTATCTATTTGAACAAAAATACACTGATAACATACATCATTTTACAAATATTTTGTATGCAAAACTTATAAACAATTTTTTGGTTATCTGTAGTAAGTTGTTGTTAGAGTCTTGCATTTAACATAATCGGATATCTTTTTGTTTCTTATTTCAGTTCACATTTGTAATTAAATGTTCTTTTCTTTCAAACTGCGATTTACCGCTTATTAACATTACTGTGAGTGAAAACGTAATGAAAAATATTTTTTTCTTTCGTTTAATAACTGTATACATACCTATTCTATTGCCAGATGTAGTAGCAGAACCATCGCCTAGATTCCAATCCAGCGTTAAGTCTGCTCCAGTTCCACCTCTCCTCATTTTAACATTGACATTGACAGGATCCCCAAAAGCTGCATATTCCGGATCCGGTAATATCTCAACATCCTCTATCTTCTCAACTACTTTAACATTTCCATTCAATATCAGATGGCTGATAACGTTGGATATGTTAGCTGTAATTGTATACGTTCCAGATGGAGTGGTTTCTCTAAATTCATGTGTGTATTGTTGATTGACGTCAAATGGAATGGTTTCACTTTTCCCATCTCCATAATTAAAAGACACCGATGCTTCATTCGGATCCGGATCACTTGGAACACTCTTACTAAATGAAAGTGTAACTGTCGCCGGTGGCAAAAACAAGACTGGGTCAGGAGATATACTCATTACAAGGTTCTGAATCGGTGCGATTGCCAATAGTCTGAAAATTTGGGAATGTGAGTTGTAAAGATTGGAAATTTTTACTTCCACGTTAAACCATCCAAGTGAAGTAAATTGGTGATTTTTAGATTGTGCTGGTGTTGCAGACCATAAAGGTATAGAAACTGAATCATCAGGTCCGCTGTCGTCGTATTTCCAATCAATAACAACACTCGTGCCACCAGTGGCATCAACGGTAAATGTCACCACATCATTTTTACTAATAGTACCATAACCTTTGACAGGGTATATGGAAACACTAGAAGTAATAGATGGACCAGTTATTTCCTCTTCAATTCCAAATTGTATTACAATCTGCTCATTGCTAACCAGGTTAAATGCTGTTAGGTTTAGTGGGTACTGTGTGATTGAACTTCCTGCACTCAAAGATTCGGATGATGCTTTATTAAAGTATGGATCTGTAGTGAAGGTTCGTACCTGTGAATCATACTGTAAAGTAAACTGAGGGCTTGATCCAGCTGTCCATGTCCAGTCGATTGTAAATGTGGAATCTTTGAGAGCCCCCGTTTTTACGAGTTGAAGGTTAGTTATCCTGAACTGTGTGTTAAAAGTTGCAACAGATGACATCTGATTTATTTGATTGGCGCAAACAACAGATATTTCATATGTACCTTCCTCAGTAAATGTATAATCAAAGGTTCCGCCTGGTGGACTTGTTATATCGTCAGTTGTTGCTATGACAACTCCATCTTTCTTCCATGTACATGTGTAGTTCGACCCTGTTGTCATTGATATGGGTATAGAGGTAGTTTCCCCTACAACTGCTAAACTATTAACCAGCGCAAGATTTCTTATTCTATCTTGGACTTGTACAACGGTCGTGTTACTCTTGCTACTCATTTGATTAAAGGCGGTTATCGACACATTCATTTCACCAACGGTATTGTAAGTGTAATCGTATGTTGCATCAGTTGTATTTATAGCTGTACCATCACCGAAATCCCACCAGTAAGTAACGTTTGTTCCTATAAAATATCAGCAACAATTAGTGTTATTGACATAATATATCATTATATTAATATACTGGAGTGTAAGAACCCAGGTAATCCTGTAATGTGATTGGTTACCTAAACAGGGGATCCCTGTAAAGGAAAACAAAAATAAAAATGGCAATTAGTTTTGAAATCTCCAGTATAATTCAATTGTCATCTGGGCTTCACAAGGGATATGGGCTCGTATTCCCTGTCAATGGCCTATATGCCCATATCTCCTATGAAGATCACGAATGACATATAATGTTCACATAAATATGTATGGTTAAAGGCCCTTTTTATGAACAACGAGTTAACCAATAGCAAGACTCGGAACACGGAAATGAAAAAGTTTTGTTGTCCCCTAAAAAGTAACCTTTAATCAATAACTATACGACTTTATTTATCGTTTTGATATACATATTGTGTTACGTTTTACCTGTATGTGGTAATAACTGGAATGTAGTGACCAGTCCTTTCTCTATATACTGTGGAATATTGGTGATAGCCATATCAACTCCCTCCATAACATTAATCTGTGTGGTGTTACTTTCTGATCCAGTAATTCGTTTGTTACTCACTGTAATACTTATATCCTTGACACCCGAGGTGGTAAATTTAACTGGGATGTATGCATCGCTGCCACCAGATGTTATGGCTCTTAGTAAATGTCTCTTCAGTGAGGAAAGTGGACTGGCATTTGAGGCAATTGCAACGTCAGTAGATTTAATGTCCGTTTCACTCGTATTTGCAGATACTGCATTCAGTCTGCCTACAGTAGCTTTATATCCAAGGATATAGCCATTTTCGACTTGAATGTAATCGGCTGTGGCGTCTATAGGGATATAATTATACCCAGATGCAATGTTATGTGTTACAGTTCTTACAATATTGAGATTTGTTCTCTGAGTACCGTCGTATCGGGTAGGTGTTGTATCACATGTACTAGAACCTGATGACCAGCAGGACATGCTTGATGGACAAAACTCTTTAGATATACATGATCTTTCATGTATACCACTACATCCACTTGAGCAATCATTCTTATCAAAGCAATAAGCAGGTGAATTACAAGCTGGTGACATAATCTAGAAAAAATACATCAGTTGAAATTTAACGGTAACGCAAATTTTGTTGGAAGCCCTATTTTGCTATTCACTGTTTAATGACGTTGACGAGTGCTATAAGAAGGACCAGCTAACCCTTCCTGAGAACCGGAGTTTGACCCTGGTTCTTTGTGGGGTTCGTGATGTTTAACCTTTATTTTCTAAGTAGTGATTTTCGGACTTTTTCTATGTCTATAAATAAACTCATCAAAGATACCATGATTAAAATTGTGTACACCAGGCGCGCGTGTTTTATTATTTATTTTTTTTGTCTTTCAATCTTTACTGAATATTTACAGTTACACTGATTCAGTTGTAAATTGTGAGATTCTAACAACACTATGTCGTATTTCTGAACAAATAATCAAATCATACTCTTTCTAGACTTAGGGCGATTTGATGCTTTATACATTGTATAGACACAATCATATGTTGTAGACCGTATTTGATCTCTAGATGTCTTTTGTTTTTGTTTCGTTGGGTTGCTGTCTCATTGTCGTATATTCCCCAGCACCTTTAATTCGTATCGAAAGTGAATAAGTTGGGCAAATCTGATTGTGTGTCCATGAAATGAATATATTAAACAAATAATTTTAATCAAAACAAAAAGTAATTCGGAAGTAAGCTATGTATTGTTTTCAGACTCAAGTAGGTGATGTCCTTCCTTCAAAGCAAAAATTCACAAATCAAAAATATGTTGATTTTATAATTGAATACCTTTAACAGTAATGTATAGTGGTGAATAACATTTTATTTAATTGATTGATAAAAATTGTTGAGAAAATTTCTTAATAAAATATTATAGTTTAATGTCACTATGTTTCATCAATATAAGGTTATGACCCCCGTCAGCGAACCAAATGATATGTCTCTTTATTGCGTGTAAATATATGTTCAATGTTCACTGGCTATCGACCAGACACTTAAAAAACTCATGTCAATTCAAAACATGGGAACAGAACCAAAACCATCCACGCAGAACTATAAAAACCCGTCTAAAGTAAGCATGGTCTGAATAAGCTTTAAACTCATGTGTGGGATAATAAAATAAGATAGATTGTGTAAACAAAGAATCGTTTATATCTTACCAAAATGTCGATATTACCAGGGACCTCAGCGTACGCTTCAAATCCGATGACTACACTCTTATACATGAATTCCGAAGCTGGCATCACAATAAAGGATGTTCCTGTTTCACCCGATACTAATGGTGTGCCTCCTTTTGTCGGAATAGCAGGCCCAGTTATATATATTGGCGGATCTGCATAAAACAATACAGTTGTTGTGTATCATTTTATTGATCTATAGTAGGATTCACCGAAATTACTTTCATGAGAGAAAGACATGGGGAATTGTTCATTCATTAAGTTTTTAGAAATTTTCTAAACAAAAAAAAAGGAAATTAAAGACTTCAAATTTATAATATAATTGTAGTATAGGCTAAAAACATGTAGGAAAACATCCTTTTCTCTAAAAATTCAAATTCCAAACTGAGTTATTTCAACTATACTTAATAAAATCGCTCCGTGGACGTTTGGTTTCGCATTATTTAATCGTTAAAGATATTTATAGAGCTTAATTTTGACAAAGACCTAAGTATGGCTACCCTGTACTGTTTCTCAAATTATCGTGCAAATAAGACACAATTATCAAAATCAATCTTTTAAAAAATACACAAAAATCATATTTAACCCTAATATGGCTTATTTCAAATGTTCCCCTATTCATTTGTGGTTTGTACAATATTTGAATTACCTGCAATGGAGAATGTAGATTTCAGTTCAGAATCTTCAGAGTACTTCAGTTCCAAATAAGATCCTTCCAATACACTGACAGTACAGAAATCTTCCTCGTGAGTAGCCATGTAGGCCGGACAGGTCAGAGTATAAGTCTTCACAGGGGAATCTATCATTACTGATGTTGTCGCTTCCTTCTCCTGGGATGTAATAATCAAAACAATTGTCAAATATACTGTTAACAATATTTTATGGACACATTTGATTTATACAGATGTGTACATTCCTGTTATGAGACTTGCAATATGCATTTTATTCGACTTATGATACCTTGACATATAAGACAATTATTGTTAAAGATAATAACAGACTTTAGAAAACATGTATTTTATTGTATCTATGCATTGATGAGAATAAATTATCTATCATTATTTTTTTATTGTTTTATTACTTTAATCTTCTTTCAGTGTAAGCGGATTTAATGCAAAAGATGAAAATGCCCTAAACGAAAAATAGTCCGATTTCGGAAACAATAACTCAAATTAATGACAGTCAAAACCAATCTGATTAAAGTACAGTTCCTCTGTCCGCGCTTTGCTTTGTTAGAAAAGCTTGGACACAGGATCTGACTTTGAACAGATTGAGTCAAAACAAATTAAATGAAAACAACGTTTTATAAATTTTGTGCCTCCGAATTTTTCTTGTAAAACAGTGAAAATTACAAATATTGTTTAAAAGGAACAATTTATTACATACCATTAAAGATTCCATCTGGTCATTTCCGTAAACTGACACTTTATAATGACCAGGCACGTGATATCTTCTTTGCCACATGTTGGTAGCATTTTGGTCGGTTTTACCTGCGCCATCATCATAATCCATCTTGAAGGCCAACTGGGCTCCGCCTGATAATATGTTTGCTGAGAAAGTAACTTCATCGTGATTTTGGACAACATTACTGCCTGCACTCGATGTCAAAGTGAGACCTAATATAGGAGGGGCTGCAGTGAAGACGCTGACATAGTCTTTACTCCCACAGTCTTGTCCTACGTCACCAGAACATTTTTCTGTACATTTTGTGTTGGTATTATCTTTAAACGAAATGTCTGGCAGTGCGTCTCCACAAAAACAAAATCTTCCTAAAAAAAAGTCATGGGTAATATAAGCAAGCAAAATTATGGTTGTATATAGTCATCTGCAGATTTTGGCAATATAAATTATGAAAGATCTGTATAATTTAATTACTTTAATTATAATAAGATATTTTAGTTGGTTAAAAAAAATCATCAGTAGTTTCGATTCTCCGTCCAGATTTTTAGCATACAAATTATCTAACAAATAGGTCCTCAGCCCAGATGTAAAATTCATGAATGAATATCAAATATCTATCTCTTTCCTTTATTGCATACCTTCAGCTATTGCTGCATAAGAGAATTTAAAACTGCCACATTTTGCTGCACATACAGTAGGCGTTAGTGCGCCCGGGTCAAAATCGCCCGGGTTCCTACTGAAATATCGGCGTCTTTTGTTCTCTTTATAACATCCTATGCCTGCTAAAACTGAAATATTCAAATGAAAAATATAACAATCACAATGAAATAAAATGAAATACTAGTACAAATAGAATTTAGACCTATGTGGCATTACGTTTACCTTTGAATCAAATCGTTGGACTTCATTTAAAAAGAGAGTAAATACAAAAAATCGTTGAAATTGAAATAATAAATTTTTCTAACAAACAAACCAAAACGTTGTGGTTGGGTATCTATGAAGGGCCATTCGGGTCATTGTTCATTTTGTTACACGTATGCTAGAAGAACGTGTAACAGCTCGTTCACGTACTCTAGAGGTACACGTAACAGGTCGTTCACGTACCCTAGAGGTACACCTAACAGTTTGTTCACGTTCCTAGAGGTGCGCGTAACAGTTTGTTAACGTACCCTGGAGGTACGCGTAATTGTTTGTTCACGTACCCTGGAGGTATGCGTAGCTGTTTGTTCGTGCAGCTAATCGCAACAGAAAACCTGACATCACTTTCCCTGAATAATGGATTATCTGTGTCAACATCATTTCATTATTCAATCAAATTCCGCCTAACATTCAGGAGAAGCAAGAAGGATGGAGTATACGAAAAACCTTGAAATGATTGATGATAACTTTTCGTCACTAACGGGATCTGCATACAAAACCTCTCTAACGCAGGCATTAAAATTTCGTTTTACATTATTTAAAAATGTATTTGCATCCTCCATTTAAAATGTTGTAAGAAAGGCCTGATTTAATTGGTCAATTAGTATTCTCCAGCAGACGAGTTCATTGTGCATAGGGTATAAAGGTTATTCCGCATACGTGAACAAACAGATACGTGTACCTCTAGGGTACGTGAACAAATACTTACGTGTACCTCTTGGGTACGTGAACGACCTGTTATGTGTACCTCTAGGGTACGTGTACAACCTGTTACGCGTACCTCAAGCGTACGTGTAAAAAAAAAATTATGACCCGAACGGCCCTTCATAGTTATCAACAACTTAGACGATTGAAACAATGATGTAAACTTTCATTTTTATGGACAAACAGTGAAATGTCAAACACCCCTTAAATTAAACGGCAAATTTCTCACTTTAAAAAAAATAATAATAATAAGTTTTGTTTATGTAATTGGGGTTCAATGTTCAATAATAGTGACCAAAGTCATTACCGAAACCAGGAATTTGTTTATTTTAATTATGACTATATACTGTACATTATACTTACCACTGAGAGCACTCTCTGCCGTAACAACCTAGAACAAACATTGTATGCTTATGAATTGACTTGTTCATGTAAAAAAAGCTAACGTGTAAATTACAATTTTTTTTCAACTCTTCAGAAAAGAAATAGTAATAAAATTAATTCGAGGACGTTCAGGCGAGTAGGGCGTTTTGTGACTTTCTAATAGAAAAATAACCGAGAGCCGATCAAGTACAAAACTTTGGAAAATTAAAATCAAAACAACGCCGGCATGATTTAAGGAATAAAATAAAAACCAAAAAGTAATACTAATCAAACTTATGTTGTTATACCTTGTCCTATAAGGTCACACCCATAGTCAGAGGGTTCGTCCAAACACAGCCCTCTAAACACAATTAATACTATTAAATATAAAAATAAGAAGATGTGGTAAGATTGCCAATGCGACAACTCTCCACAAGAGACAAAATGACACAGACATTAACAACTATAGGTCACCGTACGGCCTTCAACAATGAGCAAAGTCCATACCGCAAGGTCATCTATAACAGGCCCCGAAATGACAAATTTAAAACTATTCAAACAAAAAAAATAACGGCCTGATTTATGTACAAAATAATGAACGAAAAACAAATATAATATACAGCAACAAACGACAACCACCGAATTAACACCTATCACAGACTATTAAAGTCGACACTCAAAATAAAGTTTGACTATTGAACACCTCAAATAACCCCTTCAGAGGCATCCTAGTCAACTATGAGGAAGATGTCGGTATATAAGTTGCATGAATATCACTGAATTTGTGCAAATAAGCATGATGACCTTTTTGTTTTTTTAAATATGTATGTGAATGAATTTCATTTTTATTTTAGACATATTACTTTGAAGTTTGAAAATATTAATAAATTCAAATTGAACGAAATGTATTTCAAGTTCCTTAAAATTCTTAACATCAAAATAAGACAAAATAATCCTTAATATGTGTCACCGATTTTCTTTTTGAAAATACACGGGATGTATATTGAAAATTCTAAACAGTAAACCGTTTGCATTTAGGGCCTAGGTGAATTTTATTATTTATGAAAAATAAATACTTACAAATATCAAAAAGTAAAATCCTAGTTTATTTTTCATGTCTGGTCATTCCAATGTAAATGTGATTTCTGTTAGGTAAAATCAATCCTTGTTTTTCAACATGAAATACTTGATCAATTAGACAGCCAATAAGAACCCACATCAAAACACCACTCTGTCAATACCGTTGTATTAAATCTATATTTTCTCTATGTCATTTCAATAGCACTATCGATATTTTAATTCTGGTCCGCTGCTTTTACGCAGAGATGCCAACTGAAACGGAACTGGGCTAAATAATATACTACAAATCCATATTTCAATTCAAATATTGTTTGTATTGGAATTGATGAAATGAATAAAATATTTCGTTAAAACCATCGCAAAATATGATCATGTATTATATCATATTTTCATTCAAATGTCCTTCCCGTACTGACAAAAATAGACTATAACAGCAAATACAGACGAAGCAGACAAAAGCAGACCAACATTCATGCTGAATAATTATATATGTTTCACAAGTCACGTCACGTCAGCTAAAAATCCACTATTTAGTCGTTTACTAAAATGGAAATGATAGCGTCAACAATTAGGAATCCTTAGCTCTATAGCAAGGGAATACTGAGAAGAAAGATAACAATGGAAAACCGTATCAACAAAGCGATGTATACCCTATGCAGGCGCTGATTGAATGCTGTTGCGTGAAAATGGAAAGTGTACGATGAGAAAATTAAGGTCATATCTTATGTCGTTAAGTTTTTTAAACCGGCCTTTTCATGAAACTGTTTGGTCAAATCTTTGTTGATATTTTTTTCAAAGCTCACTTTGAATCTCACTAAATGTGTGTTTACATAACTCACTCTCTTATTTATGCAAAATTAAGTTTTTATCTTTTTAATTTTCAATTCATAGTGTAGAATACTTGTGAAAAGGGTTCCTTCATTGATGTATTTTAAAATAATTTATTAATACATCATTTTTTTTTTTAAGAATTCACATTTGATTCACATAAGGCATAGAAAAGTGTCATTGTAAACCAGAAACCAGAAACCAGGTCGTGGTTGCTGATAGAATAGATGCAAGTGGTTTTGAAAGACGCCTCTCGGAAAATCGACAAACCCAACAATAGTATATTATTTGAAGACTCGATGAATTCATGTGTCAACTAGAGTGATAGAAGATAAAGTTTTTCATCTTTGGTTGAAAATGTAAATGTGTATAAATTTAATTTGAAAACGAGTGATTGCCTATGAACTCTTTTTCGCCTTTTTGTAAGTAACGTCGAGGTCGGAAATGTAAAAAATCAGGTGGAACTTCGCATTCTTAATCAAAAAAAGACATTGATTCAAAAATATTTTTTAGTTTCTGTATTTTATTATGAAAGAATAGTTTATTTTTTATTAAGATTTAAAAGAAATGTTTGTCCCGAGGAAAAACATGCCCAAAAAGATTAAGGTCGTTGCCGTATATGGGTTTGACGTTATATAGTTTTAAACTTGGGTGTTTAGAATTTAGATATGAACATTATTTTAAAAAATAAGTGGGTATCTTGGATTTCTGTGACAAACAATTGTTGTTGAAACTGAAAGTCAATGTTTTGGACCAACTCCAATTATTTAAAATTCATGACGCAGGGAATGATCTTTGATGTTAGAAGTTCTAATGTTTAATACCAGTTGGAATGTAGATAATATAACTTCAGGCATCAATCGAACAAATGTATCTTGGCAACAAACACAAGTTAATGAAATGAAAATCGCACTCAAATGGTTTAATCGAATAAAAATGGTAATTATGATCCTTACTAAACCGCCATTCCATAGAGCTAAAGTTGTCAATAATGCTGATTCTGAGAACATAATGTAAAAATCAATCTGCGTAACACAACAATTAAAGTATTATTGATTAATGAAATATTTATTGTTACCTGTTTCAGGTAAATATCGTCAACATTTCAGGTTGAATTTAAATCATCACTGTATGTCATAATCACCATAAATACTTAAAGCATTTCAATGGTTAGAAATATTTGCTCTTTAAGTTTAGCTGACCATTGTTCTATACGATGCCTTTTGTATTCCGAAGGGGAACTGATACAAATATTTGTACTTAAAAGAGGGCTGGCGGTAAATATTTTTTTTAAAGTCTGGCACGTTCAGTTTTGTTGGAGTTTATATTGATCAATTATTAGTTTTCATCATGGATTGCTGTACATGTATTTCGGAGTTTAGTGTGGCGTCCATTTCACCGAACTAGTATACATTATTGTTTATGAGCCAGCTGGAGCTCGCCTCCGGGTGCGGGATTTACTCGCATTGAAGACCATTGGTGGCCTTGTGCTGTTTTCTATTTTTTGGTCGGGTTGCTGTCTCTCTGAAACATTCCCCATTTCCATTCTCTATTCTATCTATCTTCAGTATATGTTGTTTGTTAATCTATGTATATGCTTTTTTGTGAGTATTTGTTCATTTGATTCTGTATCTTTGTTCATATAGGAGTGTAGATCGGCATTTTAAGGAGATAAACCTTTGCTTCAAAAGAATTCGTATAATTTGTAATTATTCATTTATTGCCGATGCTTTTATTTACAAAAAAAAATACATTAATTGACATCATACAGGATAAAATATCAGCGGCAATGTTCATCCAACAACCGTGGCCACATTAATAAGCTTTCTGTAGTAGCGAGTGCATTTTGATCCCGCTTTCCGATTTATATAACATCTTTATACGTCCTTGTGTAATTTAGTGGTAATCCTGTTGGGAGGTGGGCTGTGTAGATCTATCTTATTGTGTTGTCCCCGGATGGAACCAACGACCTTCACCAGGAAAACTGGCAACCATTGTCTATAAAGATAGAAGTATAGCACAACTCATGACGAGCAGAGTTTGACCTCATAACCTCAGAGTTGATAGGCTAGTGATCACTGTAGATGAAACACCTAGATCACTCGGTCACCTAGGCTCCCTAGTTTATAGTGTCCTTTACTTTTACGACATATGATCCAGATATGTAATGAGTGCGGTTTCTTGGCTGGAGTAGGGTCAATAAGGCTCTTATTTGGCCCAAAAATTAATGCAAATTTAAAAGTTATCATACATATTCTTAAATTTGTCCTAACTAGACTAAGGTACAAGGTCTTCAGAAAATAAAAACAAATTTTACATTTAACGAGTTACCATGGCAACAAACCATGACAAAATTTGTATATTTTGTAAAATTTCTTGATTTTCCTTGTTTTACGTCAATTTTTAAGTATATTTTAGATTGGCAAAGTATGTGCGCACCCAAGAAACAACTTTAGTTTTTGTGATATTATGTCAATAGTTATAATAAAGCGTCTATTAAATTATTTTGCTGTATCTTGGCTGCGCACGGTGTTTCCACAATGGAAATAACGATGGAGAACTGCATAAATTCTATATTTTTCATTGTTTTCATGAAAACGGTACATATTATGACGTAAATGTGACGTCATCAGACAAAAAATCTTATGTTTTTCGTTTACATTTCTTAACTGTGCATTTCCAAACATTATGTGCCAAGTTGGAATAGTTGTCAAACATTTAACTTTCTTGTGCCAAAACCGGGCCTTAATGCACTACATTAACCAAGTCAGCAAACATATTCGTTGTTGTTGGTCCTGGAACATCTATTTTCACGGAATTGTTGGTTGTTGGTGTTTTTGTGTGGTATGTTGTGCTTGTCTTGCGTGTTTGGTAGTTTCTGTTATCTATTTTAAGTTGTGTCATATTTGAATTCACTTTAGTAGTCACGAAAAGTAATAACTACATTGCTGTGCAGCTTGTAAAGGAAAAGTCGGAACAAGTAAATTGATATTTTTATTTGTATCACTACTGTATTTCTTCTACTATATCATGTACCTCCTTTGACTCCTCAATTTATAGATTATCTATATTTCTTCGTCATCCAACTGACCTAGAAGCCAATGGTACTATAGACATAGTTACCTACAGTACTATATACAGTTATGGACCGCACTTTCGATAGACATTCAGAATTGTCAACCCGACGATAATTGTATCCTAGGTATTTACACAAAGAAAAACCATTGGTCAAGAATTGACAATTCTGAACGACTGCAAATTATATTATATCGTATTATAGAATTGATAAATAATAGTTAAAACAGGTCTATTTTGTTTTCAAATGACAGCTTTGAAATGAAAGCTTAAGCAAAAACGACTAATCTGAACACATATACATATTTGTAGCGTCTATATAGACACTACCTGAATCCAAAATCGCAATATATGTAATTTTCCACTGACGCTCAAGAATCTATTTATATGATTTGAATAAAATGAAATTATCCGATATCATTGTCAAGCAGATTAGTCTCGATCTCATTTAACAAACCATTTTACACGGCCGTACCGTTGTTACCCTGTGACGTCATATTAAGTATTTACAAATAGAGCTATTATCTCCAGATGCCCTTTTTAATTTTACACTACAGTAAGCAATGTCTTCATAGGTACTAACATTGATTTTGTTATTAAATAATCAAAACATAAGTAAATATGTATTTCTATACAATTATCAACACTTATGGTCCTACATCCTGTAGATACTAATATATTGGCATTGTACAAGATTATGTTTCTATCAGACTGTTTATGAAGTATTTATACTAAATACGTAGGATATTTCAGTTAGAGAAACATTTTTTTTTATTACTAGTAGTTGAAATTGACCTTCAACTAGCTTTCAGTAACTGCCTGTACTGTTATGTCGGTACCTTGTGTAATTTTTATCTCACATTCATTTTTGTCTGTGCTCTGTGTCTATAAAAGAGAGGCGAAAGATACCAATGGGACATTCAAACTCATAAGTCAAAAATACACTGACAACACCATGGCAAAAAAAAAAGACCAAAAGAAAAACAACAGTAAACAAAACTCAACATAGAAAACTAAAGAGTGAGCAACACGAACCACGCCAAAAACCGGGGGTGATCTCAGGAATGGTAAACAGACCTTGCTCTACATGTGGCACCCGCCGGGTTGATCATGTGAGTACAAACCCGGTCATAAGTCTAATTCGGTAGGTCACATTCGGTGAAAAGGAGGACGGGATTGTGGTTACGACGATTGAATCATATCCGTCGTCATCTATGACACAGATATTCAATAACGGTCAACC